GCGCAATATACGTTGAGGATGAAGACTGATTGGTGCGAGCGTTTTCGCGGAAGAATTTCAACGACCGTGTGTGGAATGTCCGAGAATTCTAAGTCGTGTTGTTTCGCCGTGAGGCTCTTGTGGACGAGCGTGCCTGTACTTGGGGCTTCTTGGTTGTGCGAGTCGGTGAATTGTTGGAAAGCGATGTAACCAGGGAGTGAGACAGAAGCCATTGTTTCTTGTAGTGCGATGACGTCTGGAGGCGTTTGGCAATTGGGCAGTTGTGTTTCTTGTACGAGTAGCTGCAGGTGGGCTTTCTTTTTACGAAAGCCCCTGCAGTTCCACTGCCATATAGTCAAGTGGGTGCTGGCCATGATGCAGCAGCTGGAGCATTACTTGAGGCCGTCGTGGGTTCGCTGTGCTGGGTGGAAGAGTGAGAGGTCACTCGGTTGCGTGTGATAGCTGGTGCTCTGGCCATGCTTTGCTTGATTACTGCAAAACTGGTGTCTGTGGCAGTTCTGAGTGCTTCTAATCCGGCTACGGTGTTGTTTACGGTGGCTTCCATGTTTGAGAACCGTGTCTCTATGTTCGTTAGGCGTGAGTCTACGGTTGCGAAGGCTTCTGTTACGGCGGCACGAACGGCGTTGACGACCGTGGTTTGGACTGTCGTGCGGAGGGCTTCAGCAACGGATGCGTTGACCATTTCAATAATTCGCGCCGTCATGTCCTCTTCGGATTGCAGCGTTTCCGTGGAAGTCGTTGCTTTGCGTTTGGCTGCTGCGGGTGGTTGGGGCTGTTGAGTTGAATTATGCACGGACTGGCTGGCCTTTGCCAGTTTACTTTCTAGGGAGCGGTTCTGCGCAAGGAGCACTTCGATCTGAGCTTGTTGCGTCGCCATTTGGGATTTTAACGCATTGATTGTTTGCGTAAGTTCCTTGACGAGCGGGTCATGCGTTGAGGCGCACGGTTTCGATGGCTGCGGGGGAGATGATGGCAGCGGAGACGCTGCGCTTGGCGCCCATGCTACACTAGGGTTGCTTGGTGGTGCTTTGGATATATCAGCATGTGGGATGCGACTTGATGATCGGGTTCTTGATTTGGACCTAGAGTGGGAGGCTGCTTGACCCTGGCGAGATCGTGACTTCGATCGGCTGTCGCGTTTCGTCGGCGTTTGTGATGTCCCGAAACTGGGGTAGTTACGCTCGTCCAAGGCAGGCGGGCTATCGTCATTTGAGGTTTGCTGCGTCGCTGGTGACTCGGTTTGTAGCGTCTTTCCTGCTTGTGCTGCGTTAAGTGGTTCAGACTTTTTGGCGAAGCGGTACTCGCATCTTGAGCTGTTCGTCATGTGTCCTCCTTGACAGACGATACAGCGTGCTTGGCATGTTGGTGGCGTTCCTTGCGGCGGTGGCTCGTGGTCTTCTCCGCAACGCGGGCAGCGTCGGCGCCTAGGTTGAGGGCACACATCGGAGCGGTGCCCGGTCTTCCGGCAGTTGAAGCATGCGTCTACTTTGGGATGGAAAGGGTATACTCGAATGAGACCTCCACGGTGTAGAAGCCATCTAGGTAGGTGGTCCCCGAGCAGCGTTATAAGTAAATTCTTCGTTTTTCCCATGCGTCGGCCACCCACTATTTGGTAGTCAGGGTTGCTGTCTTGAAGGTCCTTCAGCGTCTCATCATCGGTGGGGAACGTGTGGGCGTAGAAAGAAATGCCTCGTATCGCGTCGTCTGGTGGCGGGGCGTACATGTGTAGCTCAATCTGCCGGTCTTCTCCGAGGAGGATTGATGTGATGCGTTGGTACGCGATTGCTCGGTCGGTGGTTGCCACACTAACGGTGAAAGTGTTATTCCTTGGGTGTATGCGTAGTTGATCACGCTTGGCTGGGTCCAGGTCACACAGAGATGCCGCTTTAAGCAGTGCTCTCTGCAAGTCTCCGGGTGATGTGCGCGTGAGGTCAATGGGTGTCTTGGGGCGTCCCACGATGTGGTACGTGTGCGACGGCAGTCTTGGCAAGGGATGGCGTTTCAGTTCCGGCGGCGGCCGGGGGGTTGGTGGAGTTTTGGGGGCTTTGCTTACTTGCGCGTCGTTCATTTGGGCTTGTTGCTTAAGTGCCTGGTGACGTTTCGCCTGGGCTCGGAAACCTTGAGGTGGTGTCCAGGAATCGTCTGACCATTCTTCGAGAGAGATTTCGACGCCGTCGACCTCGATTTCCATGTCGGCTAGTGTCCCAGCGGCCGCGACAGCGGCGTTCGGTGTAGCGTCGCTAGGCTTAGGCGTCCAGTGGCGGATCTTGCCGGCGTGGCGTGAAAAGATGAAAAGCTTACTTGAAAATTGTGACCAATATCTGTCGGAAAGTTGTATCCTCGGGACCGGTATGATTTGCAGAAACCATTCGTACAAGAAATCTTGAGCTATGGCACGTCTTCCTACTGAAACATCGGAAAACCCGTTTGATAGTAGAAGCGGCTGAAATGACACGCGATGATTTTGATTGTTTTAGTGCACCCTCTATCTCGCTCACACAGAAAGAACTATGTTTTTTTTTTGGATGGGGTGATAGACAATAACGGAGAGTAATGTACGGGACTGGCACGTGTGCTTTTTATTGTCTACCATTTTTTATTCTTTTTCTCTTTTCACCCCCTTTATAAACTTTGACGTTTGCAATAAACGTTTAGTTGAAGTTAAGCGCTTATGCTGTGTGTTCTTTGTAATAGTGGCTGCGCTTCTTAGCAAGATGAATCAGGTTCGGCACTCGTTTTCCTTTGCGTCCCACTTGCAGCCCTTCTATACGCTACTTTCCTGTTGTTTTGCCACTGTTGACATCATACGTCCATGCCGATTTCTCCGTGGGCGTCTCGGCATTCACCTCGGTTTGCATTGATGTTGGTTCTTCTTGTGGTCCTGTAGTAGCCATCAACTCGCTCTGAAAGCCTACGTGGCTGGTAGCAAGGGACGTCTCCGCCTAATCAGGTTTTCTAGTCGAGAGAGGAACGCGAAGCTCCTTCCCAGGCCCACGCGTCCGGCGGGTGTACATGCAACGCGAACCACAACTGCGAGACGCGCTCGCGCGTCGGATCACGGCGTAAGGGTTAGCGGGGAGGACCTTGGCATCGAGGTGTTAAGAGTTCGGTGTAGATAATACAGAGTTTTAGTACTGCGGAATGGTGCTACGTACGCATCACGCAAGCGCCTTGCGTTACGTGGCGTCGTTTGCCACTAATCGGCTTTTAGTACGCCGTAGTACCCGCGTACGTAACGAGCGTGAAGCGTGTTGCGCCATCTGATAGATCAAAATAGAAGCACGTGTTGTTGACAGCCAAACTGAGCCAATCCAAGTGTTATAGCTAGATTACGGCCATATTTTAAGCCACAGAGCTGGTCGGTGCTTGCCTTCAATGCCGCCATTTTGCAAAACGAAGTCTCGCGCTTTAGTGAACTTGTTCGAGAGCGGCGCGATCACCTCATACGTACGCACGCACGCATCTCATGCGTGCGTACGTAGCGGCCGCGTACGTAACGCGATACGTGCGCGTTGCGGTCTGCGCATGCGCACTACGCAGAACGTGGTGTCCTTACGTACGCAACGCCGCCACGTACGCAGCGTACGCAGTACTAAAACTCTCTATTCACTCACCACTTAGTGGGAGCTGTCAGTTCTTTCCTTGCAACTTGGTGAATTGGCCAGCACAAAAACCCAGATCTAGCAAGGCGTTGAACCACAAAAACTAGCGCATGAAAAGCAGGAGCCCATGTGAAGTGCAGCCGCACTCCGTGGCCCCTTAGCGGAAACTCAACACCCCTGAATATTCAGTCAAAGTGCCAGGCCGGGGGAGCGCTTGTGCCCTTTTTGCGAAAATAGGTGGGTAACCAGTGGCAGCGGGATTTCAATACTCGTTGAAACTGCTTTGAAAAAAAAAAGAATAATAAGTAAAACAGTATATGAATGTCTTGTAGTGGAATGGGTATCCCTAACTCATCACATATTGCGTGACAGAAGTGTAGAATAGCACTGGGCGTCGAAAGATGTGAACTAAGTAACGAGTAGGTGTTTTAAAAAGGCCCGCCAATTAAAAAGCGCTCCGTGATTCACACTCGGTACGAACCAATCCCGGAAGAGCGATATTGTCGTGGTGGCGTATAGAGGTTCCGGCATCCCAGAAATTCCAGTGCCGGCATCGGTGCCTTTGCCAGTGAGCGAAAAACGGCGATTTACGAAAGAACTCCAACCTGGGGAATCAATATCCGGGTACCCCGAATCGCATTACCGCGCAATCTGGTAGAGAGTGCGGCACTTACCGGCGCAGCAGGTATTGTTCGTGTGTTTTGCGGGGCTCATATGGAGTTGTCTACAAAGATTCGTGCATGCGTTCAGTCAAAAAAAGATGCACCTACCCAAAACAAGCACTGGACTCGATAAATGTGACCACCATCTCACTCGTTAATCTCGCTGCGTGGATTACGCGATACAGCGGAAAGTCGTTATAACGAGTACTCATATATGGGAGTATCGGTTGCAGCGAATCAAGTAAGAACTTTGGTCGGTCACGCTTCATTTGAGCGGCGTATATTATTTTATGTCGATGTCGGCTGGAACGTAGAAACGTTTAATTCACGCGAGGCTCAAATCTGGAAAGCTAAGGTAAAAAACAAAATAAACATTAAAGAAAATTCACAACCACATGTTAAAAAATCTGGTAGTGCCATCAAAATTATGGTTAAGCATTTTCTCAAGCGAGTTTTGCTTTATTGTAATCTCCCCTTCTTATTTTCTTGTATATATGCAGTTTTAAATGACATAAGGAGACAGCTAAGAATTAGCTCGCTTATAGTGTGTTTGAGGCCCAGAATAATGCCTTTTTATATTCGAGATTTCTGCGCGACACACATGACCGATTTATTAAAACAGACTTCTGTCTCTACTGCTACAATGAATACCGGATGTGATTAACAAATCATGCTCCCGACGTTCCTCATTATAACGATACTCCACAGTAACCGAACGTTTCTTGAACATCCGCAGTGTTTTGCTGTCGCACTGCCTGGCGCGATTGGCGGCGCCTTGCGAGGTCCGCTGGCTTTCCTGCACGGCTCAGACAGGCGCCGCCCAGGTCTCGCGTGCCCTGCGCCAGGCGTGCGCCCCGTGTGCTGGCGGCGGGCTACAGCCCCGAGGCGCAGCCGGATGGCTGGTGCTGTGCCTGCGTGGTCTGGGCGCGGCGCGCCGCGACCGCTGGGGCTCCTGCCAGCTGGCCGCCTGGCTTCATCAGGTGCGCACCCACGGAGGATACCACGACCCCACTGAGGCCGGATGCCCGTGGGTGACTCTGCAGCGAGTGCAGCTGGTGGCCACCGTGGCACTGCCGGCCTCTTCGCTACCACCAAGACTACTGTCGGCAGCACGCGTTTTCGCCCTTGGGTGAGTGTACGAAAGGGCTTTCAAGATAGGTCCGCAACTTCTTTACAGCGAAGGTATCCTAGTCTACTCTCTGCCCCCTGTGCCGTGATCGTTGTGTTTGTAGTAGTAGTAGTAGTAGTGGCAGGGGCAGTGGCAGTGGCAGGGGCATGGGCAGGGGCAGGGGCAGTGGCAGGGGCAGAGGCAGGGGCAGTGGCAGGGGCAGTGGCAGGGGCAGTGGCAGGGGCAGTGGCAAGGGCAGTGGAAGTGGCAGGCGCAGTGGCAGGGGCAGTGGCAGTGGCAGTGGCAGTGCTAGTGGTAGTGGTAGTGGTAGTGGTAGTGGTAGTGGTAGTAGTAGTGCTAGTGGTAGTAGTAGTGCTAGTGGTAGTGGTAGTGGTAGTGGTAGTAGTAGTGTTGACGTGACGCGGAAGTCGCATAACCAGAGGGAAAATAGATTAAAGAAATAGATGCAGAAATGACAACGACGACGGCGATGATAATGGTGATAGTAGTAGTGTTGACGTGACGCGGAAGTCGCATAACCAGAGGGAAAATAGATTAAAGAAATAGATGCAGAAATGACGACGACGACGGCGATGATAATGGTGATGATGATGATTGAAATGTGCCATCACGCCTATCTAAAATCTAGTGGAGTACTCTAGTGGATCCGCGTGATCTCGCTAGCCAACCACATACTCGCGCGCTTCGCTATTCAATTATTCTCACGCTCACGGCGTGGAACTGTCTGAAATTTTCTTTTAATACTTTTGAGGTAAGCAGAATGTTTCTGTGCTGCAAAGGGGTAGTTTGTACAGGCCTTGTCTCATCGATAGGAAAGTATATTTATACGTTACTTAGAAGTGTGGCATTTTGGGCTAGTTGGTATCCCATGACGATAGTTACAGCGCGAGAACAGAACGACGACAAAGAGACCTTCTTGTCTCTTTGTCGTCGTCCTGTTCTCACAACTATCGCCATATTTATACGGCTGAGAATTTCAAGAGAAGGCGGTGGCTTAAATTGATGATACATCGTTGAGCAAAATGTCACTGGAGCTAATGTTTGGACAGGTTTACTTATCGAGGCAGTTGGTGTCGAAGCCGTTACCAACAAATCGTAATGACCAGAGTCCCCCGTATGCACAAAATCTGTTTGCTTTAAAACTTTTTTCTGCAAGAAAATCACCCAGATATGACGCTGTACGTGATCCTGACGAAAGCGGCTACCCAGTAGCAAGTATCACGAAGAAAAAGGTCAACCTTGCTTCTGTTACAATATCAGTTATATGAACACCACATATACGTATTTTTGCCGTCGCCATCATGTTCGATATTAAGTTCAAATCAATATCATTGCCCATAGCTTCATGTGTTTCGAGTGCGAGTGAAAGCTTCCGAAAGATGCAAACAGTGCATGATGGCTCAAGCAGAAATGAAACGAGCCGGACATCTCCTCCGGGGGAAGGAGCGCGAAGGGGTGTCGTTGAGAGAGGGGGGCTGAGTATTTAGGGCAGCAGCTACAAACTGTGATAAAAAAATTGCCCGCAGCTTCCCTCGGGGGAACACTGAGGAGGATGCGGACCATATAATTGGTTAACGGGGTGTTAAAGTGCGACTTACTTGGGTCGATGGCTGAATTGGTTAACGTGGTCGTGAAATGGGGTGTTAAATTGCGACTTACTTGGGTCGATGGCTAAATTGGTTAACGTGGTTGTAGGAGGGGGTGTTAAATGAGTGAACACGTACACACGTATGCGAAAGGGCGGCGCTGGTCGAAGGGACGTCGATCATTGTGTTTGTGGATTCGTTGGAATTCATTTCACCGCGACCTTGGACGTCGACGCGCCGTACAAACCAACCGACGAGCGGGAACTGAGCGAGCGAGCGCCGACCTTGAGTATATATACAGCACGACGGCGCATGCACTGTCAGCTGTTGAATGTTCTCGAAGCGCGACGCCACATGCGCGTCCACTGGAGAATCAGGAGAATTGTAGATGTCGAATGCGGTGTGTAGAGGAGGAAGGGTGCACAGATGGTGGAGGAGTGAAGCGCGCGCGGTGTGTAGAGGAGGAAGGGATGCACAGATGGTGGAAGAGTGGGCGACGGCGCGACGGCGCATGCGCGCGCGTCAGCTGTCGAATGTTCGAGAAGCGGTGCGGACGGCGCGGACGGCGCGGACGGCGCACTACAAGGCGCGAGTATAAGATGCTCCGCATCTAAAAATATGATGACATGTGGTGTTTTGAAGCGCAAACCCCTGCTGATGGCGAATAGCACCATTTGATCAAAAAAGTATTGCCGAGGGCACTATTTCTGCAGATCGATAGACGTCGCCAATCCTTGCACGTACAGTGCTTTTACCACCTCGCGGTCAACAGACCGTATTACGCCAGTGTTTTGTAGAATTACGTGAGGTCGAATCGGGAAAGAGTTAGCTGCTAGCGTAACTTTGTAAAAAGTTCTAACGTTGCTATCGCACTCAATGCTTCGTCCTCGTGAAACTGTGACGTTTTTTTTTTCTTTCTTTTGTAACCTCCACGTCACCAGTGATCATTGGGCTATGGTGCACGCCTTATCTTATGGAGAACTACTGACGCACTTGACAACGAGTTGAAACGAATCGCAGGGCTCCGCAGCCACCGGAGCTTGCTCGAATATGCGACGCCTACTTGGTGCCGATCACACGACATCTGGCAGAAGGCAGCTTGGCTGACCAACACGAGGCTCTAGCCGCCTCTATGGTTACCCTTGTGCAGCAGGTGAGATGGGATTACGGTATTTATGGTAAGTTGTTGGATAAATGAAGAGCCCTAAATGTATGCAGGACAGCTGTGAGCTAACTCTTTCAGTATAGATCTGTATGTGTGTTCTCGAACCCCGACGACTCCACGTATTGAGGCAAAGTGTAGCTCACAATACCTGTCTGAAACCATTTGTTAGAGAGCTTTAGAATACCGCACGCAACACTTGCGGGTGTTAAGGGCGTAACGCTAGCATCCGTCACTTAACGGGAGCCCGCAAAAGGTTATCGTGCGATGCATGCGCAATTGCGAACACGCAAGCGCAAAGCTTGCGTTGCGCTCATGATTAAGAAGCTCTCTGTTGTCGGATATCACGATGACAACGATCAGTGATGACAATGAATTAAATACGGCATGTTTTCTTCTGAGCTTTCAACAGCAACAATTCGCTTATATCCCTGCGTGTTGCCTCGTCTTGTAACTTCAGCACGGGACACATCGGCGCAAAAACAGTTTCTGTGATGATACGAAGGTGAAAACCGAGGGTAGTAATTTACGATGAAAGTAGGCCAATACACATACATTTTTCCTGGTTAGTCCTTCAAAAGCCTTCATTTATACCAATACACATACATTTTTCCTGGTTATTCCTTCAAAAGCCTTCATTTATACTATCGCTTGATTTAGTTTCATTGGCTGATTCGTGCTCACTTGTTAAGTCTTGTCTGTTAAGCCTGGCTGTGCAGAACCCTTGTGACAATCACACCAATGCTCAGGCACAGTAGATGATGAAAGAAACAAGCTCCCGTGTTCCTGTTACTCAGGCTCAGTCTCGGCTGCCTGCTGCTGCCGAGAGGTTGACGGCGCGACTGTTGACCGACTGGGTGAGAGGCTTGGTACGGTACTCCGCCCCCGACGCGCAAGGCCTGCTGGCTTGCTGGGCGCACGAAGGCTGTCGACTCTTCAAGGATTCCCTAGTCGACGACGCGGACCGCGCTCAGCTGGACGCACTGTTTGCGGGCATTCTACGCGCTCACTGGCCCCAACATTCATCTGCTATTCTGCAACGCGAGAAGGGTATGAGAGAGTGATAGTATGAAGCAGTGTGGCTACCCAAAATGTCAGCGTGTCACGCTGCTTTATGCTAGTGAACCTTAATAAAGCAGCGTCTGTGGAGCTCTTTCTACGTGATATGATACTCGTTCACGCAGTTGTGTACGTCACGTGAATTGAACTTTACCGGTGTTCACATCTCACTATCTTGCTAGGGTGAAAGGCATGCTGCACAATAAATTAGTTAAATCAGGCATGAGTGAAATACCTTTATTATGCAGACCAAGCTTTTTGCGCCCAGAGGTGAGTGGCCACCTTGTTTCTAATACCCGGGAGCATGTGCTGGTAGCCTTCATGTCCTCCAGCCGAACATACAGTCGGTCCTGAGGACTGGGGCTAGCGATTTGCCTCTCGGACTGGTTGAGAAACACCGTCGGAAAACAGGTTTGAGGAACACGTGTAGGCTATAACGTGAATTGTACGGAAATCATTCTGAATATGACGCGCCATATGAAAAGGCTCGGGTATAGTGAAGAAACAGCACTGGATATGGGGAAGCGTTGGATAAATCTCGCCTAACCTTTCGTCAGGAGGACATAGAGGCTTGAAAAAATGCAATAGCCGTTGAACAAGGAGCGTCGCTCGAGTGAACGTTTCGACAAGGGGACCTTTCTTCGTCGATGAAGTAGTTGCCGCTTTGATGAAGACGACTCTACCTGTCGAAATGTTAGCTCAGGCGACGCTCCCTGTTCGAATTTCATTTCTTCGTTAACCTTCGTCACATCAGAAGTGTGTGAACTCGTTCGCACAGCTTCGCTTTCCTTGATGCGCTCGTGTATACGTGCATATGCAAACAATTATCTTTTCAATTACCAATAATTCATAGAGGAAAGCTGTTCTATCATGTTCTTTCTCATTCTAGAAGTCGTCTACGTGTCCAAGCCTGGTGACTCATCGACCAAAACAGCCTCTTGGGGAAGCCAGCTCGAGAAACTTGATCTGAAAGACTGGAATGATGCTGTCCTCAAAACAGCCAAAGAGTGTGGTACGTCATTTAACTGTTAGCACCTTTTGCGTATTTCTTTGTTCCTAGTGGAATGTGACCTTGTTATTGACTGTATTTTTCCTTGATGTCACGCGTTTTAGTAGAACAAAAAAACGTGATTCCCACGAAGCCCATGCCCAGAATAGACTACGTCATCCTTCAATTCAGGTGCTTATGCGGTGCCAGTGCTTGAATGGCTGTCACTGGTGGCCCAAGCGGACTGGGCACTGGGGCGACCAGCAGGTTGGGTCCTGGTCGGCGGAGCCTCTGGAATGGCCCGCCGTCTGGCGGTGCGCCTGGCTGCTCATCGAGCCCGGCTACCCTGCGTATTCCCTAAGGGTCGGTCGCTGGCCGGCAGCCGGTCCGACCTGCGTCCAGTACGTGATGTTTAGCCATTGGTTTAGCCATAGGCATAGACAGCAAAGCGAAAAACCGGCTCATCGCATCATGTAGGCTCCACCATGGTCAACTAGGTGCCGCCACGCGCGATTCTATGCACGTCTGATCCAAATGAACCTGCGAATACAGTCAAAGATTATTGGTCAAAGAAAAAACATAGAAAGTGCTCAAAGCCATGAAATGTGGCAAAAGCTCTTTGTCGTACTTGCTTTGTAGCATCCAGTGCACGGCAGACCACAAAAATGAAGAGAAATCGCTTGTTTTACGCTAACTGCCGAATATTTGACAAGTTTTAACAATCCTGTGTTCGTAGATTTGTAAGGCAACTAAGTCCAATAGTCCTCAAAGCATTTCTTCTGTTTCTTGCACTGTATTCTGTTTGCACTGGTCATCATGGGTGTAATTCAACCCGCCCAATTCGCTAGCTTATTCCACTAGTAAGGACATTGTATGATAATTTGTAAAAATGTTGTACAGCTTCTTTAAATGACATGAAATTAAAAGCGATGCGTACATTCGTGTTTGTTGTCTTCAATGTAATGTGTAATCTAACACAACGTTTATCTTTACGCACTTTAAGTGTCACAATTTTTCTCTTCCAGCTGGTGCAGTCAGCCGGGCTTGAAGGTCGTAGGTCGGTGCTGCTGCTTGAGGACCAACAACTGGATGAGGATTCGCTCGACCTACTGGCCGCGCTGTGGGCCACGGGCGAAGCACCTGGACTCTTTCGGCCCGACGAACTTGACCTAGCGCCCCTTCTGCAAGAAGGAGAGCCCGAGGCCGAAGGGCTCCCACCCTGGGAGCATTTCTGCCGCCGTAAGCCTTCCGCGCTGTTAAGTTAAGGTCAAGGTTAACCCTAACCTTCCGAGCTGTTTAAATCATAATGCTTTGATGTTAAACCTTCAAGAAAAGAAATTAACAATCGCACGTTTGTAGCACGATGCCACAAAGAATTACTGGCATGGATTTCTGACAAGATATATTCTTGGTTGCCGAAAATTTTGCCCTGGTCCAGAAATCAAACCAGGGGCAAACGCCTTTCCGGGTGGTCTACTGTAGATGCCCGTCCACTGTGTGATGTCAGCGCATGTTAAAAACACCCGGTGGTCGAACTTTCTGGAGCCCTCCACTACGGCGTGACTCGTGACCATCTGGTGGTTGCCGCACGTAAAACCCTAGAAATTAATAAAACACTTCAATAATTGCTCAGCCGTTCATCTCTGCTGCAGTTATGTGCATGTGTGAGCATTGTCTCGTAACAGACCAGCTGAGCATGCATGTTTGTAGGAGTGCGCAGGAACTTGCACGTGGCATTGGTCCTGGACGCTTCGTTCGTCCAGCACCACGCAGAACGCCATCCGTGGCTTCGCAAGGGTTGCAGCGTGCACTGGCTCTCATCCTGGAGCCGTGAGAGTTTCAAGCAGGTAGGAGTCTTGGAAGTACTTTGGTCTATTTCAATGCGGGTGTTATTTTTGGATGTTAATTGTGCGAAGCCTGATCAGACTTAATACTGGGTACTACGTGCGCAGTTACACAAAAGAAGCGTGTGCGGGTTTGATTAACAAAAGATACAGACGGACAAAAACGTTTTTTATTTAGAAAAAAACTTTAATATATTGTTTTGATCCTGAATAAGTGAAACAAGTCGTATGTGAATTACCGGTGAGTAGGGGTCACTTTTGACAATATTTAGCCGTTTGACACCTGTAGCTATGCAAAGAACGCAAGAGAACCTGCGTAGCTAAGAATAATAGTCTGTCTAGTGTTTTTTTTTTTTAATTTGCCTTGAGCTACCGTCCTAAAATTTTTCGGTTAGCTTTGCCCTCATGACGGCTGCACCAGAAAAATGGTGGCACCAGACTCCGCCTGCGGACCAAGCACAGCTTCGTAATCTTCGAAGCTGTCTATTGAAGTAACCTATTTGCATTTTTGTTAATATTGTACCGTGGTACTTTCAGACCAGTATAGCAGATTCATCTGATAATTCTTCGTCGAGCTTTCGTATTTCCAACGGATGCTATTTTGGTTCATTACAAGTATGCGTGTACCGCGACTGCGTCGCAGTTGCCCGGCCTGGTGTTGGACTCCAGCAGCGTGGGCAGCCGCAATGCGCCCGACGCAGCGCTCTTCCTCCAACTGCACGAAGCATGCCTGTCGACCGGGCTCGCTGTCGGCCCCAGCCAGTATTTCACCATGGTGGGCGCCTTCCGCGATATCTTCGCCCAGCAGGAGGCAGAAATGGAGGAGTCCAAGAAGCACTTGCAGGTGAACTGGCACTCAGCTGTTCCTCCTCGTTCTCAAGTCCGAATTAGGAATAAAAAAAAACTTTGGAGGACGCTTGCGCTTCGCCTTCAAAAGCAGAGCGCTGTTCATATTCATGTTGCTGTTGACGTCGTTACGCAACTGTAAACAACTGCTAATATAAAACGTACGCGGCTGTAACGTATGTGTGTGCGAGGGTTTGTACATGTATTTAGCGCCATCTCAATAAAAAAAGTAAACACATTCGCCTTCCATCCGCATGCTTCGTATAGCATCGATTACCAAGGTACGTGGGACTTGCCGAATTTTAGTTATTTATTTTATTTGCATCTTTCTCGATTTATTTGATAACGGACAACGTTGATTTCTCGCTCCCAAACGATGACGCCGACACCGGAATTTTCGCGAAACGAGCACTTTTAACGCTGTCGCGTTGAAACCCGACCATTGAAAAATAGGGACATTGTTGTGTGTGGTCCATATGGCCTGTCCCACGAATGCTTTCAAGTGCTGCCATACTGGACTGTTAACGTTGTCGCCTCGTTTTAGTAAGAACAAAAATAACGCAATACACTCTTATAGTAAACTCATGCGGGTCAAAACGGCGCTACAGATATGATCGGCATTTTAGAGCCATATTATTCAACGCTAGAACATACTAAATTGAGAAATCATTTGTGTAAAATTATTATACCATGGTTTTTATGAACCAAAACTCAAGTTTACAGGGCACGAGAAGAAGAGTTGTCATATCCTGGGAAACGGGCTTAGCGTTCGCGACCGTAATTAGATACACAAAATACCACTAGAAATTAAATTTACGTTTGCAGTTAAATTACCTTTAGGTGTGGTATATACATGCAGCACTGAAATTCACGCCAGCTCAATCTAGTTAGGCATTTAAGAGAATAAGCGAACATTTAGTATAGTGACGCGTCATCACGTGACACGTGTTTAATACAAGCTATAAGGTATATTAACAAAAAAGTTCGCAATGGCTATGAACAGAAACTACGCAAAACGGTTATCGAAAAGACACGGGCACTGCGCTGAAGTCACACTGCTCTGATCAACGTTTCTACGAATACTTGAATTTTTGCTAGTTCTGCAATTATGCAGTCTTGTTTTAATTTGTCTTAAGCACAAAAAAAGGCACGCATATCGAGTGAGATTGTATTTGCACGCCACTTTACTGGTGCACGCGTATAGCACACGCGTGACGCTAATCATTTAGGTAAACTATATTTCCCTAGATTTCCCTATGTTCTCACAATGGTCAGTTCTTTTTATTATAGCTGGGGATATCTAAGCTGAACGAGGCCAAGAAGGCGGTCTCCAAGCTCGAGGGAGAAGCGGCTGTTCAGCGAAAGCTTCTGGCTGAAAAGCAAGGCGAAGCTGACGCTGCACTGCTGCAGATAACAAACAGCATGACGGTAAGAGTCTTTCGTGTTTCTTTCTTTGTTTTGTTTCTTTAGCTATAAACTTTGTCTGAGTGAAAACATTATTTTTCAGAGCACCAGCGAGCAAAAAGCAGAGATGGAGCAACTGCGAGCCACTATGCGCCAGGAAAGCGAACGACTCAAAGAACGCAAACAGCACATCGACCACGAGCTGGCTCAAATCGAACCACTTGTGCAAAACGGTGCGTCTGGGTCTGGGTATATATCCTCTGGCTAGCCTGCCACTTCTCGCACAGCATTCTTGCTTAAAGAGACACTTCAGTGGAACAATGAGTTAGTTTAAATTGATAAATTTCACCCAGAAAATTCCTCTCTAGTATCCCTTCAAGACTTGAAAGATGCGGCTGCAAATAGTACTTCAGTTCACGAACTAAAAAAATATATATTTGAGTACGTCGTCTCGAACACGCAAGTCCACAGTGTACGCATCTTGTGACGTAAGCCTGAAGGCTATCGCCTGTGCGTTTGCAGCGCAACAGGCTGTCGGAAGCATCCGGTCAGACGCCCTGTCGGAGATCCGCTCTCTCCGGGCGCCACCTGACGTCATCAGAGACATCCTGGAGGGTGTGCTGCGTCTCATGGGGATATTCGACACTTCGTGGGTCAGCATGAAGAGGTACGTGTCTTCTTGGTTCAGTTTTCAAGTGTGGTACCCCCGGTGAGAACATGGACGTCAACAAGCGTGGATTCATGAGCTCGAAACTATATTGAGGTCTTAAGTTGCGTCCGGTGGATGCACAGGCAAGGCCAGTCTGGAAAAGCGCGCGAGCTATTCGTACGCGACAGTCACCGGCTGAGTAACATGCTTTTGAGCAATGTTTTTCTTTCCTTTCGCAGAACGCGAAACGAGCCTCCGCAGCTGCGGCACCGCTGGCGGCCTGGGTTCAAGCGAACGTCCAGTACGCCGACGTTCTGCACAAGATCGGCCCCTTGGAAGCGGAGCAGGCGGAGCTGCAGCGGTGACTGGAACTCGTGCATGCGTAGCTTCCCTAGCCATGCAGTGGTGTTCTCACAATACAGAACTCAGAAACATTTTCAAAGCATTGTTGCTCAAGCACGTAACTGTTGAAATAAATGTGACACAGTGAAAAAAAGAAAGTCAAAGAGGGGGGCTCACGAGCGCTCTTCACCTTCATTTCTTCACTGCGTCAATTTCTTTCAGCACTTACGTAATCACGCTGCAAACTTGAAAATGTACCTTAGCCAACTCTCCCACCTCGTTGTTCTTGTTCAAAGAACTATGAAGGATGCCGAAAGAAACGGAATGCACGTAAACACCCATGTAGTCTTTCTTTTAGATGGTACTGCTATTTATGCAGCCGTCCTCCAATCGGTCACTGTCATATTAAGGCAGCTTTCGAAAAACAGTGACCTCTCGTGGTGGTCCAGTGGTTATGATGCCCGACTTCTGACCCAAAGGTTGCTGGATCGAATCCCGACCACGGCGGCCGCATTTAAATGAAGACGAAATGCTATGCTAAAAGCCCGATAATTTAGATTCAAGTTCAGGATAATAAACCCCCAACTATCGAAATTTCCGGAGCCCTCCACCACAGCGTTCCTCATAATCGTAACGTGGTTTTGGGACGTAAAACCACAATAACTATTATTATTATCCATGTTAGGATCGAGTAACAGTGCTGTAAATGTCAAATACCGCGTGCTCAAGCATAGTTTTCAGACACCAATGAGGCCTGCAAATTTTTTGGCAGGAAGCTTTCAGGTGCCGAGCAACGCCTGGGCAAGCTCGGCTCGGCGCTTGCCGGTGTGGACGAGCGAGTGTCCGAGCTGCGCGAGCGACTGGGCGACTGCACCCGAGAGGCTGCCCGCATCGAAATGGGGCTTCGCGACTCTGATGCGCGTCTGTCCGCGGCCCGGGACCTGCTCGCGCAACTAGAGGGTGAGCACGCGCGCTGGTCTCGGCGCCTGAAGGCCTTGGAGGCCCAGCCACTGGCCCAGCGCTGCCTGTTGGCCTCGGCGTGCGCCGCCTACCTGGGCGCACTGCCGGCGGCCATGGAGGAGGCTCGGTCTAAGCTTCTACAACGCTGGCGCCGGCTTCTGCCCGAACTGCAACAGCAGGGCGTACCGGGAGAGCTGGCGCAACTCCTCAGCTCCGAGAAGGAGCAGCTTGCGTGGAGGGCCCAGGGTTTGCCTCCGGACCGGTTGTCGATTGAGAATGCCGCCCTACTCATCCTGCCCGTACGTCAACACATTTCGCATTCACTATATACGTGGCACGCAGCGGAACCGCGCGAGCTTAGTAGGGCGTATACGTACGTCCCAATAAAATAATACATTTGGAAGTTGGTGGTATCCACTGCGAAGAAAAGTACGCAAATGAATACACACTCTCCAAACAGGCAGTCAGTCAACTGCTACAAGTGTCCCGTTTATGTCTTTGATGTGTGTTTATTTGCGCAGTCGTTCTCGTTAACACAGAATGCACCAAAAAGCCAAACTATAGATGTGTGTGTGTTAGCGTGCTCTTATGAATGAGCTTAAAATACTGTGAACGAAACCTAGCTGAAGAAAAATAAACATTATACCGTAGGTTGCTTCGTAAATAGGCAACACTGGACACGAATGCTGTAGCAACAAGCGCTCTCGTGTCAGTGTGCCGTAGCAGAGGACTGATTTTTCATGCAGCTGCCCAAGAGACCGTTCATCATCGACCCGTCGGGGCAGGCCAGTCGCTGGCTGCAGTGCCACCTCAAGGACCCACAACTGATCACACAGCAGGTATGCCGGCTGCGCTTGTTGATCACTGACTTCTTGAACATTGTCCTCAAGTGAAGCGCAATAGAACTGTATGTCTTGATTAAATCTAAACAATAAACTGTCCTTTCTTACACCTTTGGTTTGTTGTGCAACAATAATTTATTTATTTACAGATAATTATCGGATAGTGCCGAAGTTTGCTGCATGATGTTTAATTGCGAATGCAAGACAAGTGCATTCACAATTTTATGATGACACATGATTACAAAACATTGAACTTGTCGTAATGTTACTTACAGGACCCCACGTTTACAGCGACTCTGGAGCTGTCTGTACGCCTCGGCAAGGCCCTGCTCGTGCAGGACGTACAGCAGATCGACCCCATACTGTACCCATTGCTGAGGAGAGACCTTCTTACACAGGGTAAACATTCGTTTCGGCACTCGGTATTTCCACAGGCACACACAGCGAAGCCCACTGTTTTATTTAGTGAGTCATTAGGCTTTGTTAGGAGTATTAAGGAGCTACGGCTGAACAAAAAAGGTGGTTGGCGAAGTAACTAGGTACATTTACGCGTCCCTTTCACTGGTTATAGCATAACAAATACCTTCACTACTTATAATTTGGCAAGTAGCAGTGGGGCTGGTGCAACTTATCCATGTTCCTCGTCACGACGCGTAGTGCCATGCTCGCTCCATGTAAGAAGAAGGCTCGCTGCATAGTGAGTGTGCTTTTTTGTAAGCATTCTTACATACCACCCTGCTGTTACATGTTGCCTTTTTGATGGAGCATCCGAGGTTATCAGCTGCACTTTGCGCACATTTGTATATAGCATGCCGTATAACCGTTGGTTATCTGGAGGCTTTACTACGATATCCAGAACGTTGCAACCGTATGCAAGATGGCTGTACAAAGCTCTTGCTTCAAACTACTATGAATAGCATGAATGTAAGGAAGCTACCTCACCCGAACCCTGAAGCATTGACTGATTTATGGGGTTTAACGTTCCAAAACTTCTCTGCCGCGGTGGTCTAGTGGCTAAGGTACTCGGCTGCTGACCCGCAGGTCGTGGGATCGAATACTGGCTGCGGCAGCTATATTTCCAATGGAGGCGGAAATGTTGTAGGCCCATGTGCTCAGATTTGGGTGCACGTTAAAGGTTTTGGGACGTTAAACTCCACATATCAATCAAAGAACCCCAGGTGTTCGAAATTTCCGGAGCCCTCCACTACGGCGTCTCTCATAATCATATGGTGGTTTCGGGACGTTAAACCCCACATATCTATCAAATCAACGTCCCAAAACTTCCATATGAGAGACGCCGTAATGGAGGGCTTTAGAAATATTGAACACCTGGGGTTCTTTGATTGATATGTGGAGTTTAACTTCCCAAAACCTCTAACGTGCACCCAAATCTGAGCACATGGGCCTACAACATTTCCGCCTCCATCGGAAATACAGCTGCCGCAGCCGGTATTCGATCCCACGACCTGCGGGTCAGCAGCCGAGTACCTTAGCCACTAGACCACAACGGCGGGTCAACCCTGAAGCCTTCGCACCGAATACATCGCACAGACTATACGTGACAAACTCCTTAGCTCGTTGTCAAAATGTAGTTCTATTGATGCGATATCCCGCGTAACGTACTGATTGCCGAAAGATCTTGGCGAGGGGGACAGAAAACAATACTTTATTTTCTTCAGTCTTTATGGAGGAAGTTGATGTACCAGGTTGAGCTGGGCAGCCAACTTCTCTATGGCTTACAGTTTGACTCCTAGGCTGGTGACAAAACTTTATCCCACCGCTCATGTGAGGGAGTAGCGAGGAGAGGAAAGGGGTCTTCTCTGCAGTCCCAAAGAATGCTGGCAAGTGCGGCTATTGACTTGCAATGCGACCGATTAGGCTCAACCCTGTCGTGGTATACACGTCCACCAGTTTATGGGAATGGGAATAATTATGTTTGCAGTCGGCGCCAGACAACCTTTGGCGCTCGGTGAACTCGTGGTGCGAGAATGGTTTTAACTGTTTCGATACACGGTGGGTGATCTCTGCGAACTAATTTCCGCAGGCTCACGGCAGGTAGTACACATAGGGGAAAAAGCGGTGGACTACAGCGACGAGTTTCGCCTCTTCCTGCTGAGTCAGGACGCCGAGGCCACGCTACCTCCGTACGTGGCGACGCTGGTTCGCACTATCGACTTCAGCACCACCGAGGCTGGGCTCTGCGACCAGGTGTGTGAGCTGTAACATGTATACATTGAATTCTTTTTGATCACCTTCATCCTTTTATATGCATTCATTCACTTAAGGTGAATGAGATGGGCTAACTTAAAATCACGTGTACCCAAACAAGATGCATAGCTCCTATAGGTATGTTGAAAGTAAACGTTGAAATGATCTTTTCCGAGGGCGAACAAACTCCACCACAGCATGATTTATACGAGCACCGGAGCATCAATGTTCTTCATAAACGTAATGCATGCATGTTTGAATATGGGTCTCATGCACCGCCAAAGGAGCAGTTTGGTCTTTTAAAAGCACCAGGACAAAAACAGGAGCGGAACGATCGCAGCACATCCTAAAAATCTTAAGATTACATCAGTTAATCTCAGCCAGAAACAGAAGCTGTCTGCTCGTTTCTGTGATAGACCGGCTTCAGTGTTTTTTTATTGATAACGAGTGGCAACGAGCCGTCATAGATATCCGTAAACTACAGCAGCCCACAATTAAAGGAGACTGGCTACGCATGCGATGTGCTTGCTATTGTTCATATCAGAAGATATACGTTTACCAGAGCTCGCGGGTGTGGTTTTGTGCGCAGTTGCTGCAGGTAGCGCTGCAAGAGGAGCGGCCCGAACTGGAGGAGCGTCGCCAAGCGCTGCTGCACGAGGCGGACACACTGCGGCTTCAGTTATCCGATCTTGACTCGCGCCTCCTGGATCTCCTTCTGTCGGGAGACTTTCTGCACAACCAAGAGCTGCGCCAGGCTCTGCAGGCACGCAAAACGTTCTATTACTGTATAATCCTCCTGTAACCCGTCAAGAATTCGTCTAATTACGAGAGACAAAAAGTGACAGTAAAGTCGGGGACGTTAACCGAGGGCGCATCCAGTTTGCTATCCTTCGCTAGGGGTGGATGATAGTGTGATGAAAACGGAGAGAGAGAAAAGGGCTGTCTGCAAGATATCTCTAACGAGTTGTCCTTGCTTGACAGCACAGCAGTCTGCTTCACCCGTTTCGAGACTTATAATTAACCAACACGTTTAAATATTCTAGGGTTCCACATGACAATGGAAAGAACTACACACGGAAAGGCACTGAGCCACGTCAGCGCTTCGTAGACTTTTGTATTTGTCCTAGTGGTTTCTTTTCCGCGCAGCTTTCATTTAAGTTATTTTGTTTTAACGAGAAGACCGGTCAGCCCACGCGAACGCTTTTTGTGCCCTTTGCTGCGACTTTATGTACGCATCTTGTGCTGTCTTTCCAAGATAGGCTTGTGCCAGCGTTGTAAATCTAATGCAGCCGCGTATCGGGTGACACAGTGGTACCACAAACGCCCCCCATCTCTTCCTCCTTCAGGAAGCCAAGGCTAGCGGCGCTCGTGCGGAGACGTCCCTGGCCGAGGCGCAGAGGCTGCAGGCTTCGCTGGAGAAAGAACGGGCCGTGTACGAGCCCGTCGCGAGACTCGGAGCCCGCCTCGTGGGTCTGCTCGATCCCGTTGCGCGTTTGGGACATACGTACCGGTGGGGCATGGCCGGACTGGTTGACCTCTTCCGGCGAGCATTGCGACAACAGGTGCTGGAATAGCTCTGCACATTCTGGTCATCACTTTTCAGGCATTCATTGTTCAAAGGTCCTATCTATGTTTCTTCGCTTCTCGTCGTAAGACATATTTAAAATTTCACACATGTTTGGTCTATGCATGGCAATTTCCACAACACCGAGTCTTCTGTTTCGAGACATTTACCACTGCATTTGACGAAAATAAGTCTGCCTCCAAAAAATGGACATTATTCATAAATAATGTCGCGTAAAATGACGTATTGAGTTTGATGTCTGGGTTTTATGAATAGCTCTCTTCCAAGTGACTAACACACTTCCAAAGGACTAACACTCTGAGAACAAACCTACCGTTATCTCGACGGTAGTGGCTTAGGTGACGGGCATTCAAGAAGCCCACAATTGGGCTCAATAAACCAATAACAGGGCAGACATGACCAAGAAATAACTAAATACTGTAATGTGGCAGTCAACAAAGTTATCTCGGCAGGTATAATTTTTGTGAGTTTTTAAACTTTCAGATTACAGTTACGATGAGCCTATTGGTAGTTAAACTGCCATTATCATTAACTCGCATAAGTTCCTCCCAGGGAACTAATGGCAAGAAAAAAGATCTGAAGCTGGTGGAACGCACGTTGACACACCTCGTATACGAGCACGCTGCGAGGTCTTTGTTCAAGAAGGATCATCTGACATTTGCCCTGCATCTGATCCATGGTCTAAGTCCTGACCTCTTCAGAGAAAACGTGAGTGCTCAAATCTCACCTGTAACACCCGTTCACGAAAGGGCGCAGAGTCTGCCCAGCACTCCAGTCCACTGCGGTAGAACATGTGCTGATCCCGACAAAACGTTAATGCACATCTGTCCGGCACGTATAACCATAAGAGAGATTATCCCGCTAGCAATGAAGTCCAGTACCGGCCTAATTGACTATAGCCCAGTATAATATGCACATGAAGCCCTTTGAAAGCGTTTATTTCATGTAAAGGCAAACTTTATAAATAAAATTAAACGTACAGAACAAGAATCAATTAAAGTAAAGATGTATGACCAAAGTGATTCATATCCATACTACATACTTCATTTTTGTCATGCATAATTTATACATGTGATAGCGTCCAAAAGGTTAATAAAATACAAAACCCTCCCACCTTGAGTAGCCCCGAGTTTGCATGCTCAGAACATTGTCTCAGAATTAAACTTTTGTTTTATTTGTTCATGCATAGTTTTTTTTCAGTGAAGAACGCTAAATATAAAGTTCTTTTCATCTGCGTAAGAACAAAATAAAATGTTGTATGAATAAGTAATGTTTAACGTCCTAGAAGATCGTGATCACTAGTATTTGACATTGTATTTGCATCCACAACTAGGAATGGGAGTCTCTCACGGGCACACTTGTGAAGGACACCGCTCAACACACAGAACAGCGGCCCATCTGGCTGATCGAGGACCGATCGGCAGCCCTGTCACAGCTCAAGGTTCGTGCGTTGGTGCATACCAGTAATAGAAGTCTAACTTAATTTTCCAATTTGGTTTAGAAACATTAAACAAGGCCTCTGCTTTACTACAGCACGCCAGCACTTACCAGAATGACGAAGTATTAGGATAATGCGCCATGATCATCTTGGTACAATGATTATCTGACACGAATTCTCCCTGTATTTTACCGTGGTACTTATTATTATTTAATTTTGATACACAGAAAACACGACACAGAGGAACTAGGGGTTGAAACAGGCTCACAACTACTAGAGGAGCACAACTTCGTGTACATTCTTTTGCTCCTGCAATTGTTTAATTAAGCTGCACCTTACGCTTTAAAGGTATGCAGACAAAGAACGATCTACATGAATAGTAAAAGAACGAGGTGAAAGAAGACTGAAAAGCAACAACAAAATTTTATTAAGGCAAAACCATTAGATGCCTCATCAAGCACAAAAACTTACCGTCGACGTCCGTCGGCGTCCGCTTCAACACAGGTGACGCAAAATGTGGATCATCTCCCCGAAGGGTACCCTGATGGGAAACGAAGCAGCAGCGGTGCGCAAGGTGATGACCCGGTTGAAACGGGTGTCGGCGTGATTGCTGGAAGAACGGCTTGAAGCAATACTCGGTGTAGCGTTTACTCGAGTAAACGTTTGTTTTAAACACAGACATCGGAGGTGGGTTGGGCATTGTGTAAGTTTCACCGCAGATAAACGAGCCGAAAGAGTAGACAGATTTCAGTGCGCGTCCGCAGCAGCCTCACGGACGCAGCCTGCTAGCCATTTTCAATGACAGGCCACGTCTCTTAGGCTGCTGTGGACGCCCAACTAAATCTGTCTAGTGTTTTCACTCGACGTGCGGGCGAGCGTTGCGGGTGGTGGAGAGGGTGAAGCGAGAGAGAAGTAATGCGAGCGGGCGAGGGGGCCGGCAGCTGCTTCGGGTGAGGGAGTGAGCGACGTCGATGCACAGCTGCGACTTGACCTACTTGGCACCGCTCCAACACCTGTGGCGAGGGGGTTTGTGTGAACGTATGGAACAGCATTACACAGGTTAGTCCAAGAGCTGCTCCGCATCTAAAAATTAGCACGTGATAACATTATGACATGAGGCCACCAATCGCCAGTATTCGTGACACCGTCGTAACGTCCTCGTGGCGTCCCATAATCTGCCTTTGCATGATGGCGTCATTGCATGATATCGTCACTTGGTCAAAGATGGACCGATCTCAGAGGCAGTACCAAACCTCATGAGGTGCAACGACTTCGATTCCGGAGGCAATGCAGAACCACGTTATGTGCAGAAATCCCGCAGATGGGGTGGAGGGAGCCATACATCGACAGAGAAGAAAAAGAACAAGATGGCGTTGGTTTTCGAGTCATCTTAGGCGAATACATGTGGGACCTTTGTAAGTTTTTGTTTACACTGATACAACTTTAAACACGACCAGGTTTTCCAAGTTTCATGGGATAAAGTTTATTATTTGTGACAAAACAAACATTGACCTTTTTTTTATGTAACATTGAGACTCACCGGTACAAATCATCGTTACGACACATTTTTCGATCTATTGACTCGTACTTTGGGAGTTATATGGTTCATTTCAATCTGGGTCGAGCGTCAGTTTCAGCGGGCAAACTTGGTATAATGCTATAGTTTAAGTGAATTTAACGTTTACGACGGTTCGCGACGAAGTGCAACTCATATAACTATTACAATTGTTCATTGCTGAGTAAAATCATTGAAAAGCTTATGCCCAAGTTTCCTTTTCACGGTTTTCAAAAAAAAACTTGCAATGGCATCGATGGACTGGATCACGCGCCAAATAACTTCATAACGCACCAAGCCACGCACCGAGTAAGTCAACTGCGAATTTCTTGAGTTAGAGCTGTGGGTCTCGACGTAACATTCGTACGTATCGTCAGCTGAAGTCACGTGATTTATGGGTTCCGGTACGCTTCGCCGACCAACGCAGGTCACGCTGGGGCCCGAGCTGTGGTCTGCGTTGCGTCTCGACGAAGCCTCCCTGTGGCAACCGTTCGCCAGGAGTGGTCACTGCGAGGAGCAACTGCCGGAGCACGCAACGCGTTGCTTGAGCCCATTTCAGCAGGCCCTGCTGGTTCAGTGTCTCCGGCCCGACCGGGCGCTTTCGGCGCTGGGTCGCTTCGCCTGTCGTGCTCTAGGTGAGTGTGACTAGTTGTCAACGAGAGCGTGTCAGCGCGAAAGAAGATGCAGCCTTAAGCGGGAAGAGAAAAAAAAACAAAGCGGACGAGGGTAGACAATGACAGGTGATAGCTTTCAGTTAAAATTAATTTCAAAAAGGCGCAAGCTATATGCGGAGCAGCTCTTTCACTAGCCAGTGTAACGCTGCCCCATACGTTCGCACAAACTCCCTCGCCACGAGTGTTGGAGCGGTGCCAAGTAGGTCAAGTCGCAGCTGCGCATCGAGGTCGCTCTCTCCCTCATATATACAGTATGTGGTATTGATGGAAAAGAAGTATAACACCTTTCATGAAAAAAAACGAAACTAATCGGGATTGATGGCTGCCTACGCAGCATCTTTTTCACCTTTTGAAACGAAGAATAACAATTTTGGTGCTCTTTCGCAGTGAACATTTATTTAAAGTAAGTTAGCGCTTGTCTGTGTATCCGCTCGTCCTTGTCTATTACCTTCGCCCTTAACCCTCGAGAATCGTGAGGTACCAACCAGCTTAAACCACCACCCTCCTAGGCTGACACTGGCACCAGTAAGACTACCTCGGCACCTCACTGCTTGTGCAGTGCAGTGCAGTTTTGCATATATAATTAGCAGGATGCGCCCGAAAAGCCGAGATGGCCATCAATCTGCCTTTAGTGAAGCCATTCGCTTTGTCGAAGCGGTTGGAAGCAACCCTGTGACTCACTATACTGTCTAATACCGCACTTTCCAAACTGCAGGCTTAACTACGTGTATAGATAAACGCTCAGTAACCATGCGGAAACATCAATTTCTGGTTGAAACAATATTTTCTTTTTTTGTGTGGCAGTTATAAGGACACTTTCGGCTTAATTTTTCTCGTTGCCGACATGTACCGTAAATTTCCATAAATACAAAGGACACAAATAAATATAATTCAGACAAAAAGATGGCCGAAGGGCGTAACCGGGGATTCGAACCAGTGACCTATCTCTCCGCAGCAGGCTGTGGCATTGGTCAATTCCACCACGCAGCATACGCCCTCTAGCACACTAACGACGAGCTATTTATACGCACCATTACCGCTGACGTTACGCAGAGCTCAAAGGTGCTTCAGCGTGTGCACTATTTCCAGCGAGATAGCGCGAAAGGCGCGCTTTACAGGTCTTCGCCCGGCTTGTAGAAAGATTTGAAATTGGGGATTCAAGGCACCGGGTCTCCAAGCTGCGGTGGTCATGTCTTCTGCGCTGTTCTTGTGTTCAGAGGAGCAACAGAGTTTGAGGGCTGGATCAAAACGCAAGTGCCGTTAGGTCAAACGCGTGAGATGACACACGTGGTGAAGTTCAAAGACGCGGGCCATGCTGCGTCGTAGCCCGCACTTCGTTTGTGCAATCTTGCTGGCGACCCACGATGTTTTCGGTTTTGTAGCGTTAGCTACACTGGCCTCGCTGAGCCAATTTCGCGTGGCACTGGTCTGCGCATGCGCAATGATACTCCGCCGCCGCCGCGCGCGGCTCGCCGCTGGTGTGCGCGCAATTCGATGCGCTGCGCAGGCGATCAGTGGTGTCACGCACCGGAGCCGGCACCTCCCTCGCACTCGGCCGCGGCCGCGCGCGACTCGCCGCCGCCGGTTTGCGCTTTCCAGAGGAGTGCCGTCATAGCCTTGGCAGACATATGGACGCCGACGCGCGCGCCTTCCCTGTGCAGTCGCCATCTGACACTGCGCTGGAGCCGCTTGATAGCGCTTCTGACTGGCATTTGCCACTGTGGTGTAGCTATGGAGAAGGAGGGTGCAAATGCTGCTCAACGGTGCAGTAGAGCGGAGAAGCTTAACTCATGGGATTTCGAAGTAGTTGCCCGGCAAAATAAATATACATGTGCCACATAATACGTATACCGTGTGTGTGTCATTGGAACAGCTGTAAGCATGATATCTGGAAAGCTAAGAATAATCAGCTGAACCTTTGCTAACGCTACGTATATCCTGGCATAGCTGAGCTAAGCCACTGCCATTTTTGACAACGGGAGCGCAAGAGTCTAATAGTGGCTTGGGTTCATCGCATGCACCCGGCGACAGTTGTTAGTGCGCGCTCGTCCTGTGCATGCATACCTGTGTGTTCTTTCCGTGCGTCCTGCTTTGTGTTTGAGCAGTACACAGATAGCTGTCGAGCTGTTAGATCTAGCTCGTCCTGTGTGAGTTCTCTTCGCGCCTGTTTATGCTTGAGCAGGGCGCAGTAAGTCTGAATCTGCCTGTTGTTCTTTATACGGCATTCGAATTACTGGCATTCGCATCTGTTGCTCCGCCTTTGCGGCGAAATTGTGACTTTTTTTTCAGCACGTGGTTGTCTTCGTGCGTGCATCTACGTTATAATGCGCAACGTTTAAAGAAACACACATTCGATTCCACACTGTCCATCTCCTTTTCAGAGAAAAAACACTTACACGACCAGATGTAGCGCTGAACATCCGCGACTTCATTGCAATCAGTGCACAGCGTGGAGAGAGCGCTTCTTACTTCAAATAAGCATGCATGTGTGCAGGTCGATCGTGTTCTTATTTTGTACAATAAATGCTGCAAAGACATTGTGTTTTCATTAGGTGTGCGGTTGACGCAAAAAAAGGTGGCTAAAATACTTTTATAATTTCTACTGTAGAGACAGGGTTAGGTGATGCGCGGAGACACACATCATATGAAAAGAGTCGCACAGGCGGAGCAGTTGCCGGCCAGGTCCGCCAGAATACCCTGGCCGTGCCAACATCACCACCATCACCACACATTCGCTGCAACGTTTATGCGCGAGTAAATGACTCAAACCCTTTGTCGTCGATGTTGGTTCTCAACCACAGTTGTGTATGTATATGCAACGGTCGTTCGCAGGGCTGCAAGGTCTGAATCCTGGCGCTGTGCCTTTACAACAACTGCTGCAGGACGGCTCCCGTCCACTTCTGCTCGTCACAGCACCTGGGGCGGACCCTGGTCAAGAGCTGCGCGATGCCGCTCAGGGACGACTTCAACAGGTGAGCACTGTAGACACTTTAGAACAAACGCAAAGTCGTGATAAAATTTATGGATGGTGACCAGGCAACAATATTCTAAGGCACGTACTTATTAAACTCTACACATCCATAGGTGCTTGGTCCCTAGGTAACGCTAATAAAAACCTAACCAGCTCTAAAAGCAAATCAACTATTCAAGTTCATGGAGTTAATCGCGGCACTGAAATTACCAGGATGGGACAAGAAAAACACACACATAAGCGCATACTTCTCATGAAAATTTATTGGAAGCCTTATCACTAAATATATAGATGAAAAAGGCGGACGCTCAGGCATGCGCAAACGTGGTGGCGTCAAGAATTTACAATTATTTTCTGGATAGTGATAATGATGGTGCATTGACATATTCCTGGCCCATCCGATGCATGGCAACTGATTCCACGATCAACCATGTTGTTTCATCTTGTTTCAGCGTACAAGAACATATTCTCTTCAGCAGCGGTGACTACGTTTGTGTATGCAACTTGTTTATGCTAGCTGTGTTAACCTGTTGCGAAAAAAAAAGAGCAAGTGACACTGTTCACTAGATGGATCGAACCTTAAGGATAGTAAATAAGACTTGACTTAACCTCAGTGTTGCTGCGTACGACTGCGGCCTATCACTTTGTCGAAGGCACTACGATGTTCGACGGGTTGTTTAACATACCGAGTTCCAGAACTAACGTCGAAAGTACCACTTTTCTTTTCTCGAAATGAATACAACGAAACACCGATTGCGCACACACTCAGAGCCTGTGATCTCGTATTTTTTTCAAGTATAAGAATAAAACAATGCTAACTGCAGGATTATGAAGTATTTGATTACACGCTAAAACATAGAATTGCTGACACTCACACAAAACAACACACTATTTTCTTTCTTGAAATGTAATCTTGAGTGCCTTGGAATTTGTTGCGCCAGTTTGGCACATTCGTAGACCGTGCGTTGTCATTCGCGCCTGAAAGTGATTACATTTATTAAGTGCAGCAGTGTGTTTGTCTCCGCTATACACGATTTGCCTTTTTAACTTACCCGGAGGTTGGGGAAAGGGAAGATGGGCGGGAGACCGGTCTTTTTTTAATAATACCATTAAGGGATGACAACCCATTCCTTCTCAGCTCTTCATTTTTCCTTTTTTACCATCAATTACTGGGAACGTTGGACATTACGTCGGAGTCGCAGTGTGTGCCACGATTTGGCGCAGGTCTTCCTTGGTCGTGGAGCACAACAGCAGCAGGCAGCCCAGGATGCTCTGCGACGCCAATCCCAGACGAACACGTGGCTTTGGCTGGCCAATCTTCATCTGGCTACCCAGTGGTTGCCTTTCCTGGCACAGGTTTGTCCGAATACTGGTGGTGCGCGCTGCGAGTGTTTTTATGTCTAATATTTCAGAACTGATTCAACTAGTTCGGCGTATTATTCGTAACAACGCGCTCTACAAAGACGACCTGAGGAAGATACGTTTAGTTAGGTAACCATTCCAATATTTCTACTGATGCAGACTATATACACAATAACGTTATCGCGGTTTACAATCTCTACACTGCTTGAAATTAACTCGTGGAGAGATAAGGCGCAAGTCTTTTGTCGTAAGCACATTTCTCACTTGGAGCATCAAGTATGTTACCTTGATCAGTGAATGCCGACAAATATTTAGCGTCGTTAGAGTATATGAGGCAAAATTTTATCTTACTGCACATCTTAGAGACAGATTAGACTAGGTGCATGCGATTAGGTCGACGACATCTAAGAAACTTGAGGCAAGAGTCTTCAGAAAAAGTGTGCATACATAAAGTAGAACTCCATGCAAGTAAAACAAAGCGGGCCTCCGTTTACACAATGCAGGAGTTGGCACGACTGGAGAGGCACCCGGACTTCCGGCTCTGTCTGAGCACGGAGCCGCATCCAGCCATTCCGAGCGCGTTGCTGAAGGCCTGCCTCACCGTCGCTTACGAGGCATGTGCAGGACGCTTTTTTTGAAACTGTTTTATCTTAAACTATGTTGCCTTTGCGTAATCAGCCAGTCTGGTTGTCTATATGTTTTTAAGGTTCTATATATTAACTCATAAGCCTGAAAGACTTCGTTACATTGCTTTGGCTTGCAATACATGCAACAGCTGAAATGCTAGTTAATTGAATGGAGCAGCTCGGACACGCTCGGATGCTCAGCTGAAGGATATCTCGCGCTCGTTTCTGTCTTTTTAGTAGCAATAATCACTTTGTCAATAACATTGCGATTTAAGATACGTATAAAGGAGGGGTAGTGTTACATTTTGTCATTTACACTACACCATGTCCAATTATGACTACTCACAGCTTCTGTGCAGAACATGGCTCCCGAGTTATGTGATTACATCACGTATAAGCGGGGCCGTCCTCTCCGTTGCTGCTTATTGCCCCCTTCCGTTTCAAACCATGCTCGCAGCCGCCAGCCGGAGTGCGCAGGAGCATGCGGCGCACCTACGATGCCTGGGGCCCTTCTGCGCTGAACGGCGCCAGCCTGCTGTGCGCGCAGGCCCACTTTGCGCTCGCTTGGCTACACGCGATCCTCCAGGAGCGGCTGTCGTACGTTCCGCAAGTATGCACCACGCTTTCCTTATTTACGCTGTAAACGTTGCTGATTAGTGGCACGAGAAACGAGTGGCTGGCTCTTGCTTCCTCTTCCGAGCACCTCAGGTCAAGCAGAAACTTTCGAGTTTTCCGAACACTCACAAAACGTGTTTTACAGAAAACTGGTACAAAATTTATGGTTCTTGTTCAAGTTTAGAGTTACGTCGGATATATATAATATCGGAGCGTAAATTTATTTAGGATAAGGGCCAATTAACTTTCCCGATAACTACTGAATTCACTAAATGAGCACTCGTTTTTTGTTGTTGTTGATTTTTTTTTTTTTTGTGAGCAAGTGATCTTTGTTGCGCCTGGCGGAACAAATCTAAACTGTAGGCTTCTTTTTAAGTTGCCTCTGAGATCCGATTCAGCGGCCTGAAAAAAAAAAAAAAAACTCAAGGTTAACCCAAAGAGTATGCGTCGGGGCAGACAAACGCCGACGTGCGGGTTCCAGTACCAGACACCTCCTTGAAGGATTAGGGTGATGTCATTTTATTTATTTATTTATTTATTTATTTATTTGTTTATTTGCATTCAGCAATCGAACGACTACAGTGGACGCAGTATATGAAGGGCACTGGAGTACATTTGGTCTTAAATTACGGGCATATAAGTCTCAGCACTTTAGAATTTTTAATTCGCACACATGAGAGTGCGATCGGTGCGACCGGGCATCAGATACGTTATCACGTTCATGCTTGTAGTAGAAAAAAATAGAGAATGGGTATTTTCCAGCCACAGTATGCGGTGACCTATTGCGCTCCCAAGCTTTGTAGGTCACGCCATATAACGGGAGTGCTAATGAACAGCATAGAAGCTCAGCTCCTCGTAGCGAAGTCGATACGGCCCTTCATGGATTCACTCAAGGAGCTGTCGATTGTGACTCCGCCCAGCTCACGCCGTGAGCGTGCCAAGTGTACATTCCGGCGATCGCACATCCATTAAGAACTGCAGTAAGCGGCAACGCCCACCTGACTAAAGTGGACCGGGGTAATCGATGGGTTTGCATCATGCATGTGCACCACGGTCGATGGCTAACCTGGACCTGGGGACACGTAGAGTTGTTGTAGAGTGTTGTAGAGCATACTGTCTCCAAAAAGCCCAATTTGAGACCGGGTTGCTGACCCGGAATACTACGCATGTAATAAAGTAGATACGAGGAAGCTCGGAATTGACAGGTCGGCGTAAGCGATAAAGTGCTCAACTAAACTAGCAAATTCCATAAAACTACTGAAGTACCTTCGTGCACTCTAGTTGCAGCAATGCGTTATGTAAGCCTTCCGTCGCGATTACTATAGTCGCTCAATGAGCGGGTCCGTATTCCTAAAACGTCTTACGATGCAAGATTCATGATGCGGAATGCATATGATTAGCAATTCTCACCGACCAGAGGGGAAGCGCACTTACGAAAGAGAATTTTTGTGAATTCGGCCACATTATGATCACTGCGAGGTGTTATAATGGCGGTCAGCACGGGTTGTAAGCCGCTATCAGCGCCACATTGTGTCACGTTTTACTCGGCATACGCATGGTACCCCTTAACTAGGCCTAACAGTTGAGAACATTTGAAGAACGAAAAAAGATGAGGCCAAACCTCATCTTAGATGAGGTGAAACCTCATCCTCATCAACAAAGATGAGGATGAGGTCAGATGATGTTAACTGCATGGGCAGTAATAGCGTAGAGAATGTGCACATGTGCTATAGTTCCATTATATTTTGACGAACTACACCTAGTCGCTGCAGGGATACAATTTTTCCCTTGATTCCTGTTTACGTAGGTTTTGAAAAGAAACGAATTTCGAATGGTATAAACGAACAAAAACTGACACACATGAGCACGCACACACAACCCCCTAACGGCGTCACATTTACCATAAAGCTAAACAGAATTCTTGTACTGTACCCGGCGCCTCTCTCTCCCCCCCCCTCTCTCTATCTCTCTCTCTCTTTCTCTCTCTCTCTCAACAGAGTAAAGTATGCGGTTTTACCTTAGGAGAGTGCCACAGCTCCTGCATTCGGCGTTCAAGCCTTTAAAGGAGGCCCCCCTCCCCATTTTTTTTTTTTTTTCGCAGGGCTGGACTAAGCGGTACGAGTTCAGCGAAGCTGACCTGCGCGCCGGCGCTGATGCCGTGCAGAGGCTATGCGGCCGCAGCGGCAACGGGGGTGTCAGCTCCAGTCCCTGGGAAACGCTGCGTGGCTTGTTCGAGCTGTCCGTGTACGGGGCGCACTTGGATGACCCTTTTGATCGCCGCGTACTGAGTGCCTACGTGCGCCAGTGTTTCGATCAGAGCACGCTGCCGGGCAGCGATCGCAAAGAGCCGGCACAGCTGGCCCCGGGAGTTCGCGTGCCCACGTCAACAAGCTTCCAGGTATACCGGACTATAGACATCGATTCACAATCGTGGTTTCCATTCTCCTTACGTTAACATATGTGCGAGGCATACATCTTAGCCCGCGTGCATAGGTAAATTTCTGTTAATTTGCACCGTTGTTCGGCGGGAGAACAAACGCGCTTAGTAAACGAATGCTCACAAAGTTTACACTGTCCACAGAATGATGACCCTCATTGATTTTAATATTTTAAAGCCTTGCTATCACGGTCAATGCCTTGACATTTGGGCGAAACAGTGAGACGTGGTCAGGGACCAATGAAACAAAACAAGTACAGAGAGAAGTAAATAGCTTTTGCGAGTGATAACTCAAAAGCTCTATTTCGGATCGCCAATGATGTGGTTTATGTAGATGCGTTAGATATCAAATTGAGCGTGTAACAAGAACTCGCGCTAAAATTACGCGTACCGGCAGCCAGTGAGAACGAAAAAAAAAACACAAAGCCCAAGCACTCCGTACATAGAAGCTGAATCGTGCAGCCTCAAGCGGTTGCAGACGTCGCAGCCAAAGCCAAAGTGCCGCCCGACAAGCTCCCGCTGAAAGCGGGCATCGGCCCAAGCAAACGCGTTTCTGCCATTGCCACGTAGACGATACTCTGCCCGAAACGCCGCTTCCTCGGCTCGCTGTAGTCGCTTGCATTCGGCTCGGGAGGCTTTTGGATCCTCGGTTCGCAGTTGCTGCTTTCACTTCGTCACCTGGGCCTCTTCTTGCGTCCGGACTGCTGCATCTTCCCGGCGAACATGAATTCTCTCGCAGATCAGCTGTCGGCACTGTTCTTGGAAAGTTGTCTGCTGTTCGGGCGTTCGTCAATTTAACCTCTCTGCGACGCCGGAGTCTCCACGCACCCGTGGGCCCGTCACCTGATGTTTATTTACATCCTCCTTTGCCTCTTCATCTACTTGACGGCTTTACTTTGCTGAAAGGCGACGCGTGCGGACAGAGCTGGGACGAAATGCACCCTTTCCAATCCTTTCCTTTTTCCTTCTCTCCTACATTATCTGCTCTCCCACTCCCCATTCCTGTGCAGCACTGCTGAGGCGACATTTACTGAGAGATACAGTTACGGCGCCGCACTTTTTTCTCCCGTTTTCTCTCTTTGAAAGCCACTCCACTGAAACTGCTGCACGTGGGCTTGGCGGCGCTGCTGCGAGGGGATGAACGACGTCACTAACGGCGCTCCTAATGGCGCGCGCATTTGGGTGCGACGTAAAAAACGACGTAACTGACAAAGCAGCCAATGGAGACGTTTATTGTTTCTCGTGGCGAACTGCCTTTCGTTTCGCCTTGCCATATACAGCTTTAGCTGTAAAAACGCGCTATATTTAAGTCTAACCTGTTCGTATTTCAATAGTACATTCAATTCCTGCACATTGCCGCTACCGCAGGCGCACATACAGCTCATCGAGCAGTTGCCAGACGAAGATGCTGGTCGCTACCTAGGACTGGCGGCCAACGTGGAGGGATCGGTGCAGCGTCTCGGTGCATTGTCCCTGGTGGCCGAGCTGCGCCGATTGCAGGCAGGAGCAAGTGGCCCTCGGCAGGTGGCCGGATTGGATCAACTGGCCCCGCTGCTCAGCCTCTGGAAGAGCTTGCACCAGGTGCCGGCCGCTAGCTGTACTTAATGACGCCTTGCAGGTCATTTTAACCACTGCTACTTTGTGTTTTAGCTACGCAAGTAGTACCACTGTGTCACACGTGCGCATCATTCATCATGCTTCCGTTTTGCTACTGTGGCCCTCCAGTGCACCGTGCTTATCGTTTTAACTTTGACATTGCACAGTGCCATGTGACGCGTCACACTTTAGCATCTTTACCCATTAGAAAGACCATTGGGTTCCCGGTGGTATCGCTATTTGAACCACCCGGATAGAAGGCTGGTGCTTTACCGTTTCGCCTCCTCTGAGGCAAAGGAAATATAAGCCGCAAACACAGAGAACTAATTTTCACACCACAAAATATGGGCCAATTCGCTAAGTCCCTCTGCGCCTCACAGTCACTGGGTCACATTTCTTATCTATGCCAACATGAATACTTGAGCACCATCTCTAATAACTAAGGTGAAGTCTGTCTAGCAAAATTGTTGCTGTCGGGGCTATCGATTTCATCACAACTGGTTTGTAGGGCGGTTTGCAAGCGCCGCCGGCAGGCGAAGGCGATGAAGAGGAGGAAGACGCTGTGGCCAGTTTCCTGCGCCAGGAGCGCGCGCACGCAGCCAAGTTGGTGCACGAGGTGCACTCCACACTGGCCGCCGTGAGCCGGGCGCTGCGCCACGCTAGCAGCTTGCTACCGGAAGCCGCCTCGGCCCTGACCAACCACACGGTGAGCGCACCCCCTTCCCCCCCGTCGTTTACTAGCAGTTCCGGAGTTCGACAGCTGAGTGCTGTTGCTGCCTCCGGGATTTGATCCCGGAGGTTGCGACCGCATTTCAATGGAGGCGTAAGCCCCGCCGCGGTGGTCTAGTGGCTAAGGTACTCGGCTGCTGACCCGCAGGGCGCGGGTTCGAATCCCGGCGGCGGCGGCTGCATTTCCGATGGAGGCGGAAATGTAGGCCCGTGTGCTGAGATTTGGGTGCACGTTAAAGAACCCCAGGTGGTCTAAATTTCCGGAGCCCTCCACTACGGCGTCTCTCATAATCATATAGTGGTTTTGTGACGTTCAACCCCACATATCAATCAATCAATCAATCAATGGAGGCGTAAATAATACGTGCCGCCCGTGTACTTAGGTATAGGTTCACGTTAAATAAAACCAGATGGTCAATATTTTTCGGAGCTCTCTATACGGCGTTCCTCATAATCATGCCGTGGTTTTGGCACGTAAAACCTCAACAATAGTTATTACGTATAACGCGATGAGCCTAGACAACAGCATCGCCGCCTCGAGCCGTGAATGTCGTACTTGCGCGAGTGACTGTAAAGCCATTTTCACTCGTAGTATACTATGCTGAAATTATGATCACAAAGGAAGTGGAGTCGCGTGTAACTATGGTTGCGCACGCTTGATGCGTTCCTTCCGGTTCGTTATAGATGGAATTAGCAAGCGGCCGCAATGCGAGCACGACATACGCCGTGCGGATCGGTGATCTTTCGTTCTGCTTTATGAATACATGTGTATTAAAAAATGCAGCAGATGCTCCCTACTAGGTTGCCCGATAGCGCTTAAAGAGAAACTAAAGAGAAGAAGGATTTCTCTCTGATTAGTAAATTACACCTTCTCGTTACAAAAAATACCACGTCTGTTCAGAGAAGACGCTTTAGAAGCGAGAAAACGCTCAAAAAGAAAGCGCGGGTGGCGACCCCCTCTCTAAGTTCCCGCACCAGTCGCCATGACGGTGTAAATATCGTCGGCGTCCTCCTAGAGCCTGCGTAGTTCCTAATGGGCAAAAATGTAGTCATGGTTCTGTGGGGCAGCCAGAAATTCAAAATACCAAGTTTCACAAAATCTCATTGAGCCAAGGTACCCAAAATAGGAGTGGGGGGGGGGGGGGAACCTTTGAAATATGCGACGTCGCGATCGGTGATTTCGGCGGGATATTGAAATGTGAAATTTTCGTAAAGCTATGGTGATTAAATTGATTACATTAGTGTTGTTAAATATTGTGTGAATGACGACGAGCGCCACTATCATCATTAGATTCAGCAGCATTCGGAATAAAGATGTCAACGGTAAGCTTCGCCATGGGGACGGCGGTTAGACCTTTTCTCAACATTTTGAGGAGAAACTCAGGTTTCGGCAAAATGTTGAGAAGAAAAGGACGAACCACCGTCCCCATGGCGAAGCACACCATCGACCTCTACTTTATTGCGAATGCTGCTTTGAATTTAATGATGATAGTGGCGCTCGTTGTCGTTCACACAATAACATCCTCCGCGCCCCCACAGGAGCACCTGACGATAAACGCTAGCACTTATGCGGGTTCCAAGTGCACACCAATTGTTAGACATTGTTCCTAGGGGTTCCAAGTGTACACCAATTGTTAGACAGTATTCCTAAGAGTCAGTCCTAGTATAGTGTCATCCAGGTCTTCTTCAGCACTTGATCCTCTAGTGGCATTTTCCGGCGCTTGTGCCACATTCGTACTATTGAGTGCATTGACATCGATGCACCTGTGTTCTCGCTGAGTAGGTTTCCTTGACTTGAAAGCTCACAGATAAGACTCTTCCAGCAGGATCTCATGAAGCTATCTCTGAGGAACCCTTTTCTTGGCTTTCTCATGCTTGCTGCATTTACCTTGTAAGCCTCAGCCTTCTGGCTCAGCCTTCGTCCTGGTCCGTCTCAATCGCCGCTGTGACACTGTGCGGGCATTTCGCAAATTCGCTGAAATAATACATGCCATTTACATTCCTTTGAATATTGGCTTCTGCAGCTCTCTCGAAGAGCTGAAGCTTTCAGCAATGCAAGAGGATTGTTTTTGTGTCATCATGGCCTTTCCTTTCTTTCTTCTGTTTCTTATAACTTTGTGAACTGGCCTTTTTTTTTTTTTCTCCGTCGGGCACTTGAACGCAGGGTGATGAGGGCTTTGTAACGTCCGATTCTGCCAGTCTTCGCTTGGACGCATTATCAATATCTCGTGGATGGCCTTTTAGATCTACAAGGTCTTCCTTCTTCTCAATCATGGGGATAATTTCCACATCGAACACTGCAGTTGTTGTAGACTTCTTGTCAATAGCTTGATGGGTACAGCACGTTGATGAGATCTCTAACGGCGTGCAAGAGGCCTGAATCTAATGATAGTGGCGCTCGTCGTCGTACACACATTATTTAACAAGTGTGTCAGAAATTTCTTAGTCCAAACTAATTTATTGTTTCACTTCAGTGTGCCTTCGACCTTTATTTAAAACTCCATTATTTAACCAACAAGTATCAACCTAGCCAACATTAGCCAACGCGAGCCAACATTAACCATCCCCACTAGCTTGTAGGTTACTTCTTACGGCAACTGTGCTGACCTGTTTCAGCAGTACTACGGCATTGTCATATATGTTCTACACAATACTTCATGCATTCCTACTGACTGTAAACGCCACCTACCGACAGACGAATTTAGTTTTTTTTTTCATGGATGTAGCTCTAAATTGCTTACTCATTAAAGGGGCATTGACACAAAATTTCCTAAGGCGAGATAATGATTGAGAAAGATTTATGTGGAGCACAACGTCTACGTGTATCAAGGACAAATATAGCTTGAAATATATTTAAAATCAATTTTGAAGTGCATGCCATACGACCGAGCGAGATGCGGAACTCCTCGCGACACTGATATCAACACGGCGTCAATGTAAACAAACCTACGTCACGAGTTTCTGTTAGCTGGCTGCGTTCCCTTGCTGCTACCAGCGATCTCTTCCTCCGTGCCTGCGACTAAGGGCGCCCGCTCGCGCTCTTGCGCGCAGCGCCACGTCACAGTTTCGAGTGGTCACGTGGACAGCTGTGTTTACGTTACCGCCAGAACTGCCCCTGCCTAGTTCGGTGCTCTTTGAAGCGAAACTGCGACGGGGCTCTCTAAAAACGTCTCTAAATAAATAACCATCGCTCACTCAGGCTAACGAGGTTTCCAGCCGTAATAAATAATCTATAAGCTACCTATTGGAACAAAGAAAAAACAAGCTGCAAAACTTTTGTGTCAGTACTCCTTTAACATAGCGATGTTCTTGCTCATTTAAAATTATACTAGAGCGTGGAAATACTTCGCGCGTACACAACACGCGCGACATTCTGCCTGTAAATCTGTCTTCACTGCAGCAATAAATACATTGCGACAAAGCCGCATCTAAACGCAGAACTTCGCTTGCTTTTCAGATTGCCTCGGGAGCGTGTTGTCGTAAATGCGAACGATACCTTAAAGTGAGAATGTCATCTTCAGAAAAATGAATCCGGAGCACTTTTCTTTCTTACTAAATATACAATATGAACGAAAATGTTAGTAGTAGTATCCTCCATAACTGTTCGTCATCGTTTCAACCGATTCGGTGTCGGTAATGCGATTGCATAAAGAAATAGCGAGCAGATTGAAAATAGAGGCAACGTAGAGCGCAAATTGACGTGCATTAACTACATGTAAAGACACATATTTTTTTTTTACTTCAGCAACCATTACATAGGCTGTGCATTTGGGAACGTGGCTCATATATCCTCGCAGGGGTATGTAGCCTACTAGAGGAACATGTTTGTTCACCAAAATAAACGGTTGGTTCCTTAGCCCTGCGTGCGCTAACGTGAAATCGCAGCGTCATTCAACAGAGAGATAAAGGTGAATCTACAAGAAAGTGATGGGTTGTGCCAGTGCAAGATTTTGGACAAGGTATAAAATGCGCAAGGCTCACACATTTTGTCAATTATCTAAATGTTCTTGCGGTAAGATAACCCATCGTGGTCTACCAACTGGCCCATCATGCCAATTGAGAAACACTTTTGTCGAGTACTGGTTGTGGCTATTCAAACTTGGTTGCACATTGCCTTTCGGCGTCTGTATGCACAAACGACATATTCATTTCGCTACGTTGCTATGCTCCGTAATTATCGACGAACTTCTAGTAGCGTCCGCAGCTGTGCCTTGGTCAAAATACTACTTGTCTCAGATACCGTCACATAAGGCATGCTTTTTAAGGGGGCACTAAACATAAAATAGATTTAACGCGAGCGTGAAAGCTCAGCCCTTGAGAGCATAACTCATACGATATACGCGTCGACGCTTTAGTAACCGAAAAGTTAAGCTTAAAGTAGGACACAATTTGCGCCACCAGTGGGACATTCTGGAACACAAGCCTGACGACGTATCAGGGCATCTAGACAATGCATCACAAGTACTCATAATATACCTACGACAAAAAAGAAATAAAAAAGGAAAAGAACAGGTTGCGTTACAACACAAATAAAATTAAATTTTAGCGTGTAGAATTTATGCAAAAAGAAGAAAAAAAGAACAGGTCACCGTTAGGAATCGCGAGTTACGTTCTGCGCTGTGCTAAAGCCTCTTGCTCCGCTGCGTAGCAGCGCAGTAATGGCAAATGTTACGTCACAAGGCCGTTCTCGTAGGCGGGTGGTTTGAATCGCGCTAATGGTAAGCGGACCACTCAAACGTGGTTTTATTTCAAACTACGCCTTTCATTGACAAGAAACAAACACTGCGAGATTTCTGAAACGCCCTTTTAACAATTCACGTCGATTTAATATTGGCATTTAGTGTCTTTTAATAGCAGGTTCTGGCACGTTGACATGCAGGTACCCGACGCATGGTTGACCCTTTGGTCGGGAGGCCGGCAGTGGGTTCCCGAGGCCTACCTCCGGGCCGTGGCGGGTCGCGCACGTGCATTGGCCCAGTGGCACTTCGGAGAGGGTCAGCAGCTGCACCTGGGACAACTGCTGCGACCGGGGGCCTTCCTCAGTGCCTGGCGCCAGCAGACAGCTCGGTAAGAGCTTCTTCCAGAAAAGGCTCATCAGGTTGGATAATTTATGAGAAGAGCTGGTGCGCGGATCATAGAACTAGTGAATACCGAGCTCGCAAGATATTACTCGTACGCACATCTACAAAAATAAAAATATTGCATGTCAGCACGCGGTGCACGCACTTATCCATCTCCCTTGTAGGGGAAGACTTAAAGGTTTATGCCCTACCATGTTACGACTGTTTACTGCTGCAAAGCCCCCGTTTATGTTCTACCAAACTTCGCGAATTACCAAAAATTTTTAACGGGCGGCAGGTAGGAGACACATAGCAGCGTATGTTTGCACATATGTACACTATATACATGCAGCACGTAAACAACTGACGTATTAGCAACCAACATTCACTAGCTCTGTTCTATATTGCTACATTGCTAATACCCCATACACAATACACAATGTTACCACTTTGTCTAAAGAATGGATGATGCACCAGCCGACTGAAGAAACAATTAATTATTTTGGCAAATCACAGGTACATTTTCTGACCATCATGATGTCCCATTGTTTTGAAGGCTAGTTTTCAGTTTCAGTACTAACTACAACAATTACTGCCTGGAATGCTTCAGCACTATGGCATTTCTTTCTTTTCTTTTAACTTCGGCAAGGAAATTAAATACTATAGATATATAAATGCAAGAATGCGCTGTGCAGAAAGCTCAGTAACTCGCTTAAATCACATTTATCTCACTAACTTGATCTGCTTACACAAATTGGCATGCTTTTTACTGCTTGCTGTGCTTCTGTTCTATTAGGACTAGAAAGTTAAAAGTCTTTTACAGCTATCCATGTGTCGTATAAATGTACCTGACCCTGAAGCATGCACCAATTGCACACAGGCAAACAGGCCTGGCTGTGGATGAGCTTCAGCTGGAAGCTTGGTGGCAGGTAGGAGAGGACAGGCCACCCCTCTGGGCTACGCTGGTGGGCCTGCAGTGTGAGGGGGGCCTCCTAGAGGATACAAGACTTCGTTCCTGCCGCCCTGGCGCCCCAGCGTATTACCTGTACCCCCCTGCTCTGCTGCATGGATGCGCAAGGCAAGTGTTACGTTTGCTAAGCTTTTAGCCAGTACATAAAACGGCATTGAAACTGAACTCGGAACAGTAAAACAACTTTCCCAGCGCTGCTCACCATACATAGAAGCCGTGTTCTGTGTCTCTCAATAAGGAAACCACGTTAGGGGCTTGGTTGTATCAAGGTACGTACCAACCAAGATGGTTGTACATAGCTCAATTTTGCAACCCCCTACTTAGATATGCACAAAAATGACAGAAGTATAACTGCAATTAACATATGTTACCTAAGTGCTTTAATTTGGCAAACAAAGCAACAATTTGCAATGCTTAGATCAATGTACCATTGTCAATCCCACCAAGTAAAAGTGCTGCTATGTTACAAAACCTATCCTTCGAGTTCCTTCATTAGACCGACACAGGGCAGACTTTCTTCATTGTACAGCATGTCATGTTCAAAGCGCTCCACATGCCGCAGTCAGAACAGAGGGACTTGAATGAGTTGGCACCAGGCTTGCCCAAACATTCAAGCACATAGAATATTTGCTTGGATATTACTGTATTCAAATTTAATTCAGTGAATTTGAATACAGCAATATTCACTTCGGTAAACTGAAAATTTCGAAGCATTCAAAATGAACGAATAAATATTTCACATGCAACCACTTCGTAAAAGTGGTTTCACTGCACTACAGGCGTGTTTTACCATGAATATATTTTTCTGGGAAAATCTGTTAGTGAAGGTAGCTCTTCTTCAAGGTTAAATGAACGTATTAGCCCTCATCAATTCTTCCTTTTCAAATTTAAAAAACTTGTTCATAAGCTTGTATGCTTTAAGTATAAAGGTTTTTAAACGCAACCTATTTTGTAGGTTGTTGGTAGCATGTAACCAAAAGTCAAATATTGCTGCTATGCAATGTTGCTTCTACTTCCATTGAACCAAACAGAATGACATTTGCTCATGCCTTGGTTAAATTTTAAAAATATATATCGTGCAGGTTAATTAGGCAATAACAGATATATTTTTATATTCAGTATAAAGCATTTGAATTCAATTTGAAATTATTCAGACCAAATCACTATTCACATCAAAGCCAAGACTTACGACTTGTACAAGCCTATTTGGCACTCATTTCTGTAGCACTCTAAGATTGCAAGACGGTCTACCTCATTTTATGTACTTCAAGCATGCCTAGTTGTGTCTACCAAATACAACCAAGTACTTCATAGTACCACATAATGCACATTAGAAAACTTATTATAACGGTAATCATTTCTTCAAAACTTGTATTGAAGTCAATTTCGCACATACGAAGTGCGATTTCATCAGGGATAGCATACGTTATCCTACCTCTTGTTCTTATGCCAAGTATAAAGCTCTAATGACCTCTTTAGTGCTGCCAGAGTGTTCATTGTGTAGTCAGGGTTTAATGTCCCAAAGCGACTCTGGCTATGAAAGATGCCGTAGTGAGGGGTCCGGGATAAATTTGACCATTGTGGGTTTTTTAACGTGCCCCAAGACCACACGGTAAGCAAGCCTTGACCATTTCACCTCCACCTGAATGCAAACACTGCACCTGAGATTATGCTTTCGGGTCAGCAGCTGATTGGTTCCCCGAAAGCAGTTGCATACTGTAATTCTTTCATACATTTTATTCAGAGAAACATGTGCAGCCTTATGTATGTAAAGATATTCACTTTCTTTATCCAACATCTATATTCTGAAGAATGTCCATCGCACCGTAGTGCTGGCAGAAGTTGTAAAGTGTTTCACAAGTCCAATATTAAAGGTCCATGTCATAGATCCCTAAAGAGAAAGTACTTTTTCTTGTGTTAGTAAATTATTCATTCACTGTACCAAAAACACTACGCTTGCTGCCAGAGGTTCTTGGTGAGAAGGGAGGAGGAAAAAGAAAGAAGGCAGGGAGGTTAACCCTTTACTGCCAAGCGTCTGCAATTCACGACATACCGAAAACCTTCAAGCAAGCAAGTCAAGAAATCCGTGCCGCCTTTAATGTCCACTGTGAAGCACTCCCGGAAGAAGTAGCTGTCAGTGTGAAAAATTTAGCACCATCTCATGCAAGATATTCTATGCTAGATTGTTTTGTAGCTGATGGCGGAGAGTGCGAGGCACGTGCAACAGCTCTCACTTCTTCCATTCTCGCTATAGTGACGTGTGTTCTATATTCAATCATTCCGTTGGTTTGGTGAGTACGCACCCAAGAGGTGGCACACGACATGTTACGTAGTTATGAAGTTAGTTTTTGTTGGAGTGTCCTCATTTTTGTGGCATATCGAGAATTCACAACATACTTGAAAGTATGCATTACGGTTGCATTTAAAATTTTTTACCTGCACAATAAAATAAAGGTTGCTATTCAAACGTGGCAAATGAAAACTTTTTCATTTCGTTCGGCAATTTCATGAATCAGGCATTAGAAGTGTTAACCAAGCACATGCCGGTTGGCTAACCTACACTGGCAGAATGGGAAAGGGGAGTATAAAGATGAGAGAGTAAAGAGAAGGAAAGAATGAGAAAACTGTCAGTAAATGGGCTGATGCATACGCAGCGGTGGCACTATACAAAAGTCCAAGGCATTCGCATAAGACCGTAGCCCTCAAAAAGCGCAAGAGCGTTTTGACTGCCTTTAAGGGCCAACGAAAGACAAGAACGGCACTCCAGCAGCATCTGCACACAGGGTGGCCGATCGTCCAATCGTAAAAACGTGCAAAAAGAAAATCAGTGCTGACACGACCTTGACCAGACCAGTTGCTGTGACGCATTGACGCTGCCTACTAGGGCCTACGTAGTTTTGGTAAAAATGAGGTGCATGGACTTCTGAAGAAGCCAGAGACTTATGTTTCAGGAGACATTGTTGAGGCAGTTTGGCCAAAATATGAAAAAAACTTTGAAATCTGCGACATCCCTATCCAAGATTGCGGTGGCAAGTTTTAAAAGTCAAACATTTGACAGATTTTTTTCATCTATCTAACCTATGGTGAGGAAATTAAAGGCACAAAACTTTTCATAGAGTAATTTGACAGCATGAACTAACTTGTTGTTCCACTTTAGTGTCCCTTCACATTCTGAAGTGTCGTACAGGGATAAACAAGACCACAAATGTTACGACTGCGTGCAGGGCACCCGGCAGTACTCGGGAGGCTCAGTGGTTAGCCTGGCGGTGTACACCAACACAGAAAGGCAAGAGCTGGTTGCTAGCCTGTCTGTGCCTTGTGAAGGTAGCCCACAACAATGGCTGCTGAGTGGTGCTGCCATGTTTTTATCTACGTTAGACTAGAACAAACTAATGACAATATTTTTTAGATTGACAATGCAAAATAAATGCTATTTACAACAACTGTCACTGCACGAGTGCCTCTGTGAAGATTTTTGTGATGTTCTTTTTTGACCAACCTCTGGAGGCTTCCCCACTTTATGATTAGAGACTCTTGCCGAGCACTGTGAGCCGTTGGAACAGCAGCGCCACGTGCATTGTAAGTAAAAACAAAATGGAGGTGGGTATGTAATACGTGAGAAAGGAGACTAGCTGAAATGAAAATCAATGTTTCATGTTAACTGAGCAGACTCATCAAAAATAGAGATAGAAAAAGAAAGCACAGCAAATATATGGGAGAGAGGCATTAGAAACACTGTCAGGTACCCAGAGTCCAGAGATGACTGGACCACCTGCATGGGACAAGCATCGATTGTATCAAAACAGCAATTGGATCAAAAACCTCACACGCACACAAACGTCTTTATTTTTTTGCTTCTCATGGCCACAGTAGTCATACACAACTCTTAAATATTACAGTAGTGCTTTTAGATGCCGACGATCACATCGGTGCACATGTGTAGCTATTACAAACATGCACAGGGCCTAATATCGCAAAATGTCGCGACCCGCAAAGTACAGTAGCCCCTTCCCACACTTGAAACGTTTCAACGCATAACATTGTATGACAGTGAAGCTAACTGACATGTGGTGCAGTGTTATGTTACCAAGAGTTTCATGTTGAGATAAATATAATGCGTCATACCGTAAATAACCACGGCCATATCGAAATGCGGCAGCGTCCCCTTTCTTTACATCAGTGGCCATAGGGGAGGCTCTTCGGGCAAGCTTTTGGAGTTGTCAGGATAAGAGCACTTTAAGATCAGCTGTCCTTTTTATAGCCGTTTTAGGCGGGTTATGGCTGCTTAATGGGAGATTTATGGTCCCGCCTGTATAATCGGCAGGACTAGTCATAAATTGGGAGTCTAATGGGCAAATGTGGAGAGTTGGTAAGTGTGTAAATAGTAGCATACTGTAAAGCACGTAACTGCAGACATTCACAAACTGGGGACTTGTGAATTACTCAATAATAATGAGCATTCATAAATGTGAATCCCTCAGACCGATTCCTTGAGTAAGTGGTGCAGAACTTAATTCATCAGAGGAGATTGGCACTAATGTCGGTGGGAGGCAGTGCTCCGTAGCTGATGATGAATGAGTCTTTTACTACGTTTATAACAATAACAGCAAGGTCAGGCTTGCAAGTCCTGTCAACAAAGTGTGGCTCAGCAGTCGCACTCACAACAACTGAGCACCACCGAGGCAACACTCTTCGTTTAGTTGTCAGTCGGGCCCAGCCTCCAGACCGGCGAAGAAGTCTTCACGCGGTGGCCGAAGGTTTTCTACAGACGACACATCCCAGAACTTGACACGCTGGTCATGAGAGCAGCTGGCCACAAGGCGACCATCACGAGACACCGACAGACTCTCGACAGGGAAGTGGCCGTGCGAACCCAGCACGCCCTAGGCACTTGTTTGGCAGCACGCTTGCCACCCTGCGAAATAAAAATGATTCAGCTGTACTGTTCCTTTCATTATTGGGTAGTTACCAAGATAGTCCATAAATTGTGGTCATTCTTGTTCTCAATATTGTGTCAGAGGTGATAAAGCAAGCCAACAGCGAACACTAAAATGCACTCGTGCAGAACTACAGTGATTCTGATCATTTTCTCCCTTTGAAATGTACATGTCGACAAAAGCCAACTCTGTTTTCACTGCTACAACAAGCTTGTGGGCCAACTAAAAGCATTTAGCAATAATACAATCGTACAAAAGCGTTTCAACAGTGAATAGATAGGGCCCGATTGTCAAGTGCACGGTTGGGTGGTTGAAGTGGCCCACATACTACACAGAAAAAATGACAACACGAAAAAAAATTAACGACAGCTTCCCAAAGGGCACCATGATGGAATGCGAAGCAGCAGCGTTGCACACAGACTGTGATCGACGTTTTTGACTCTGCCTCGTCATTGTCGTTGGTCTTCCGCTTCCGACGCTTGCATTCTGCTTTGCTGGCCGCTCGTCGGTGATTGCAAGTGCCACAATGCCATTCGTGAACACGATCGGTTCTGCTAACCCTCGCAACATCGGCGACAACTGGGTTTGGCCAAATCACTTGTGCACATGTTCCAGCGGGTGAAGAAGCTTCGCTTTTCAGCGTCCTCTTCATCGCAAATTAAAAGCCAAAAGAGTGTTCACTCGATGTGCGCTCAAACGTTGCTAGCGGTGGAGAGGATGAAGCGAGGGAGAGGTGACATGCGGTGAGCGCACACCTGACGAGGGAGAGTGTAACGTCACAATGCGCTGCATGGGAAGGCGTGACCTACTTGGCACTGCCCCAACACCTGACCTACTTGGCACTGCCCCAACGGAGCTGGGTGCCGCGCGTCGGCACGGAGACATGAATAGACAGCGTTATACAGGCTAATAATTGACTTCTGAGGTTTTGCCGTCGTGAAGTCCACCAAAGCTCGAGATTCTGCAATGATTTTGACCGCCTGGAATTCATTAATATGCAGATAGATGTGAGTAACCAGATGTTTTTGCATTTCGCCTCGCCGTACAATAGTCGCCAAGAGAACACAAAATGAACGCAGACCTTGAAACAGGTTCGTATATGTTTCTTATTCTCGTGTAAGCTTTCCGGTGCATGTGGGACCCAAGCATGAAACCTACAATTAGCAATTCTAATGTCCTTCTTTTAGCTCTTTTGGCCACTTGTCGCTATTTCAGAGTGCAATGCTTCTGGCTTTCGAAGTCAAATAGGGACATTGGGACCCCACGTGTATCCACCTACGAGAACATGCTAACACGTCGGTATCTTAGGGTTAGAAAACAATGTCCTACTTTCCGTGTAAAGAAACTAGTACGTGGCTTACCAAATCAAGATACTTATGCACAAAAATTATCCAAACCAGTAAATACGGCACACAAACTGCAGATGTCTTTGCAACACCGACTTTTTATAAGCTTTTGCAAGACGTGAGGCAGTTATCCTTTGCAATAAACTACAAAGGACAAAGGCATCTTTTTGGGCTAGATGCACATGTCCGTCTTTTGCAAGAAGCCTACCAATTAGTTTTCCAACATACCGAACACGACCATCAGCGGTACCCAAGCAGTAGAGGTCCTCGGTGATGGCAGCAAGACTGTCAACACCTTGTGAGCGGCCCAATGGCAGCCGGTCATCCATGTTGTCCCACCGGCCCCAGGTAAACAAGTTCACACTGCCATCGCCAGCCCCAACCAGCACCTTACGGCCATGCTAAAGAAGAAAGCATCACCATCACTACTATGCACATCAGCTAAGTACATTTTCAACAAAAGACTCATGTTTTCACAATTATGATGAGATGACAAGCTGACTCGCTTAAATCATGTAGGCTGTCCTTAGATGCTTGGTCCGGTGTGACAAGGTCCTCTTAATGCCATCTTTTCGGTTTACATGTGCAGTGGTTTTTTTCCTTTACCCTTTCAGTTTTTAAGCAGAGCTTGTGTCATGTAGTTTCTTGTACTTGGTGTCCTACTTGCACTCACCGTCATGAGTATGTCCCAACTAGCCCAATACACTACATGACATACAGTGACATCGCGCAACTGGAAAGTTCATTAGGCCTAAAGCTAGCTATAATTTGTTTATTTGCAACCAGTGTCCAGAGCCCCTAGGCTTATAATATTGAGCTAGTTGGCCACTGATATAGGGTTGTTGAGGCATATCGGGAAAAGTTGTTGTTAAAAACCGAATATTCAACATTGTAGAAAAAATGTCAGTTTCATCACAGGGCCGAAGCAGTGAAAGCGGTAGCAACACATCGAGCTGTTATACGAAGTAAACCTATGAAATTTAGGAACCATATGAAATGTAGTGAACACGGTTGATTGTGCTTGAAATGAGAGTAATGCAGTAACCTGAACATATAAACAGGTGGTGTTGTGAAAAGTTGATAGCATGAAGTCTGACAAGAGGTGAAGTTCGGAATTGAGAAATGTGACAAACCACTGGTTTTCACTGGTTTTCACGTGGAAGTACATTAATGTTGAAGATTCCAGTGACTATTCATTTCTTTTTTCGAGACGAGACAAGATTAACAGGACACTTATAAGACGAAGAGGATACGCACAGGCGCTATGTGTGAGACGGGGTCTACAAAGCCAAGAGTGGCCTTTGTAGACCCCGTCTTGTCCCCTCTCGAAAAAGAAAAAAATCTGCATTAAATCATTTGGTGTACTACTGAAATCATTCACGTGAGCCTGAACCTTCCTGTCGAGCTTGGTCTTCTCAATTGAAAATTGGTGGCTTTACAGTGTAGATGACTCATACTACAGGTCTTCGGGCACTGCCATGGTGATTGCTGATCTTGACATGCCTGTTGCTATTGTGAGGTCACTTATGCTAGCCCCATAGGTCTTGATCAATTTTTTTCCCTCAGTCACTGGCAGAATGCCACAGTCCTTTTGTAAGCTATTTGCTTCATTCACCTGCCATTTTGATTCAATACATAAAGACCTGTATAGTGCGCTCAGCAAAAATTTCAGCATTGCATATGACCTGCAATTTACTGTAGCCAGAACCAGACAATAATTTGCCGGGGTGTCATCATGGCAAAGAGCGATCAAAGAATTGCCACCCTTTTATCGTATTTGCCAAAAATAATCAAGTCACAACTAACTGATCTTTTAGCAATTCACAGCTGCATAACACTGTAATACAGACAAATGCATCTAGTAATTTCTTCTTCTTGTTTTCCCCCACACTGCTGTCAGGCTGAATGTACTAAGGTTCTTAGTTTATTTTAGCAGTCCATGATGTATAAGCAACTAAAGTATTGTAGCATTTACTTGAATATGACGCACAACTCTTTTTTTCAATAAAACAAGTCCAAAAATTGCCTGTACATTAGAATGCCATACGAAACTGAAACTGTGTGATGATGTTGGCAAGAGCCTCCCTTCAGAGGGGTAAAATGCACTGTAAATGCCATCACAAAATGACAGTAAAGCAAATTTTGTAGCACATTCGAAAAAGGGCCATTTCATGCACAATGGCAACCTGCATGAGTCATAGCTGCTAGTCGTGACATGCAAATCGTGATGTGTCGCTTTGCTTATGACAATCATTTTCATATTTGGTTGATTGATTTGTGGGGTTTAACGTCCCAAAACCACCATATGATTATGAGAGACGCCGTAGTGGAGGGCTCCGGAAATTTCGACCACCTGGGGTTCTTTAACGTGCACCCAAATCTGAGCACACGGGCCTACAACATTTCCGCCTCCATCGGAAATGCAGCCGCCGCAGCCGGGATTTGATCCCGCGACCTGCGGGTCAGCAGCCGAGTACCTTAGCCACTAGACCACCGCGGCGGGGTAGTCACTTTCATAAGCAAAGACAACTATGCTCCACCTCTTTTGCATGCCCAGTGCCTGCAACTGTGAGTAAAACATTCAAAGGGAGATCAGCCACTCGTCAACCAGGAAATATTTCTACGGGCGAAAAACAGGAACGGGAGTATATACGCTCACCTCAAACACCGGCTTGCGCACCTTCCGAAATAACTTGACAAAGACCAAGCTTATCAAGCTAAAGATGCTTCTATAGGTACACAATCGAATACGTTTGCCAGCCATCCTAAATTTTGTGGGACTGTCCCAACTTTTCGTACAGCTCCCCAAGTCCCATGCCGCCCCTGTCAGGACAACTATATATCCCGGACTTGTTCCTAGCCGAGTTGACTGGCGGAACTTGGGAGAGACCTTTGTCCTGCAGTGGACGTGGTCAGGCTGATGATGATGATGATGATTATGATGTTCCTAGCCTCTCAGAGTGCAATATTTATGTGACCCAACATAGTCCCAACAACAAGCACCACACTATGAAACACGAAGTTCATATGAATTGCAAACACGAAGCAAAGTTGCGGTGGCTAACGGTGGTTGCGACGGGCTTTAGCCACTATATATAGCTGAACTTTCACATGAAGTGCAACAACTTTGAAATGTATATTTTCCAACAAAAGAAAGTGTTGCAAGCAGCATCTAGCCATCTGAAGTACCACTTCAAAACGCACAACAATAAGATAAAGCAACATAAATTTGTGTAGATATTGCAACCAAAACAGCAGATTACGCTGGGTCATTACGTTAAAGTACAACATCAAGAAACAAAGACACTTGCCTTGAGCACAGCCAGCGACAGGAATTCATCTTCGAGAGGTTCCGACTGCAATTGGAGTGCCCGCTGCCTCAGATTAAAGGCTGTCAGCGTCCCATCACCACTGCATGGTCACCGCAGGTGACATTCAGAGCCAATTCAGTCCACCAAAATGTTACTAGCATCACATAGTTTAGTCACAATTCTCCCATGGTGTTGTAATATGAGTTAATTTCTGCTTTTACTAGGCCCACCCCTTTTCCCCCCAAGAAGCTTTGGTTTGTTTTGCTTGCCCACAGAACAAATATCCAGCCTGAACAATTACACAGCTGCAGCAGTGGCTCTGTGGCCAGTCACTCCTTCAGATTAAATGTTTCTCCAACATTAGTTCTCCCACATAACATACTGAAAACAATACTCGTCATTGTGGCTCTATTCAAAAACAAAAGATAATTGAGTGCACGTGAATTGCCAGGAATGATTATTAGAGCCAGGTACACAAGTCTGAAGTACGCAACTTGGTTATTCAGTGTTAAACACCTCCAAAGGAGCTGACACACAGCAGTGAAACAAGTCAGACATGCCAAACGAAAGGGACAGGGAATGGACAGGTGACGAAAAATCACAATAGTAGAGCAGCACGTGACGTCAGATGATGCATGTTTTTCACCACACCACTGAGGAGAGGTAACTGCTCCTAAAGTTTATCCACGATGAACATCCTCTTGGGCATGATGTAAGGGAAAAAAAAAAGTGGTAGATTAATGCAGAGCTACCTGCTCCAATTGCATGCAAGAAGTGCAAAAGGTGCAAAATGCCTGTACACAAATATCTGTAAAGCAGCTCTTTCTTGGTCACAGTTTATTGATAAAACTGTCATTGCAACACAGAACTGCCATACAACTTCAGAACGGATCTTTTTAAGCATTCTTTTTTTCTGCAAGCCATTGTCGAATGAAATATGTTACCAGCTGATTTAGTTGGCCGCAAGACTGCGGATTCTTTCTATGAGGCACTGTGCCCCCCGCAACAATGCCTAAGATGGCGCTGCGGGTAATCTTCAAAATAAAAATATAAATAAAAAATAAAACTCCGACATGCAGAAAGTTCACAGAATTCTTTATAATGAACAGTAAACCAATATAGATTCTTCTGCACAACATAACTCTACATATTCAGGCAGAGAAGCTATTCACCCTTTTTGCTGTTGATGCTTGAGTAGGCAATTAGAAATTATTAGCACATTATTATTAGCACTGCACATTGACCTGGTGTGAATTTAAAGGTTTCAGCAGCACATTAAAAAAAAACCAGAAGTGGCCTTTGTAGACCCTGCTGTAAACTCGCTTAGGATGACTACAATTACAAATGAAAGGTACCAAATGCACGGTATATCATCATAATTTTCTGCAAGCAGAGAAACACCCACTACTATGCCATTATACATCATTCTGCGGCAAAGCGAAGGTAGCCACTGCAAGGTGTTGTATGCACTCTGTTGATGCCACAGCTGATAGATAAACTCTGACAATAAAGAATTATGGCAGATGTCTTTGTAATGGCAGGAAGCTTTAACCACCCACTCATAATGCAATGCACATTGTGTAGCACTTGATTGTTATTCTACACATATAGCAAGCTGTATTATATTTGTTAATGTGATTCTTTGCCTAACATGACACCTGTATAGAGTCTTATAGTGAAAGAGTTTCAAGCACCAACATTACTCCGTGGTAGTACATTAATGCCATGCAGAGGACTTGGATTCAAATCTTTCGCAATGCTGGATATTTTTTCCCTCGTTTGTGCGCACTGGCGGCTATGGACAATGGCGGTGGTGGCCGATAACTACGCCACCAATATCTGCAGTTGTTGTGGTCTCGCAACAGATTTAACTGCAATAACTGTGCATGCACTCGCGTCACGGCCTCCTAAAGACTGTCGGCACGTGTTTTGCAGCAATGCGACGCCGATGTGTCATCTTAGAAGCAGTGAAACAAATCATGTAGTAACTCTGCCATTTGTGTTACTCCCTATATTTTCTATTGTCCCCACCCCTACGCCCCTATTCTTGTCACCTTCCTTGGTGAACTTGCTTTAGAATGCTGCACTCTAGTGTGGGGACTGCCGAGTAGGTGTGTAACGTCGTGGTATTTCTCGCGTTTCCTAGTCTTCCTCTGTTTCAGCAAAAATTTTGCTCAAATCATCTTAGGCCTGATCTTTACTATAACATTTTTGCTCATTTTTGATAACTCTCCTATGATGTTGATTGTACAAATAACTGCAATTACCTAATTAACCATCATAAACAATTTCTTGTGCTGTCTCAGGTGAACTGCGAGGATTGTGTACTTGCCCTGCTAAGATAAAATAACCGATCTTTTATAATACTTGGTCTACATTATCTGGATCACCATGCAAAAGCCTCCAGTAGACATTAAAAAAAAATTGTCCTGCTTTTACTCATACTAGATCATGACAACTACTAAATGAGCGAAATGTAAAAGAAGGTTTCTGTGTCTGTTTTTACACTGAATCTTCAAATTTCATAGTCTTCATTAGCATGGGCCAACATTTTCTTTTTTTTTTTTTTTCGTTGAACATAGCAGTGTTCTAACCAAAATTTTCCAGAGGGGGAAGGGGAGGCTCAACCTACCGTCCTATGTGGTCGTGCATGCATTTGCACGTGTATCGTTATGTCTTACCAACTAGCCCAAACAGCCACACTTCTAAGTTGCATGCGTAAATTAGACATTTTTGAGATAGGGGAGGACACCAATGGAACGCAGAGCCATATATGAGAAACTTTTTGATGCAGAATATTTACAGTATAACAAAAAGATGGCACAGTACATATGTATTAGTGGTACAGGTCAGCCTCCGCAGGTAGCTCACTAAGGGTTTAGGTGCCCCGATCAAACTGACCTGGTGGCCAGTAGTACCCTGTGGTTGTCCCCTGTGGCCAAGTCACTGATGAAATCGTCACTTTCCCGGCATTCCATGACGGCGGCATTGGTCCGGCGGTCCCACACCTGCAGAGGTGGTCATATGCACGCGTTCACTTTCACATGCTTACTTACATATGTAAAAACAGCGTACACAAGGCCTGCATGAAGCATGTCAACTAAATGTACTCGAGTAAGTCGTCCACATATTCATGTTCATGACACTGTCTAGAGTTGGAGTGGCTCAAGCAAGGCTTGCAAGTAAGGGACAACTGCTTGCGAGTTCGTGAACAGCCGTAAGGAAATAAAATGCTAGCGAGAGATCAAAATGTAGAACATGCTTCAAAAGCCCTAGATTGTCAGCATGATCTCGCATTGCTCCTTACAAGCTCGCACTAAGCATAAGAGCTGAAATCGTAATAGGATTACACATGGGTGTGCGCATGTCGGATGTATGGGTTGTGCTATGACACCCCAACATCCCTGCACAATTAATAGCGGCACTGAATTAACTGCTGCAATTCACAAAGAGACACATTCAGTGGATATAAACAAAGCTATGACTATCAGCCAAATTTTCTAGTATTGCAGGGTGCATTCTTCACAAGTGGAGGGCGAAGTTTAAACCCGTTTTCAAATAGGAAGTGGTACAGCAGCCAGAGGTTGTCAACTGATGTATGCTGGCAGATTGCTCTCTTTCTTAGACTAGACTTTGGAAGAAAAAGAACTGCAATCACAGTAAAACTGGCTTGTACAATGGTTACCTGGAACCTTATTTTGAATATATATTTATGGAACACACTTGTTTTAAAAATCTTCCGACACTTTAAAAAGAAAAGTGGCAGAGTCTCTTTAACATTGTAAGCTTCATTACACCCTTTATAATGAAGATTCTGAGAGAAGATAAAATATGTGTTTAAAGTTCGGTAGGCAATCTATCCCAACCTACCTTGACGCAACCGTCATCGTCCCCTGATGCTAGTAGGTGCTCGTCCACAACACACAGGCTATAGATGGATGCACTGCATCATGGAAAATGGTATTAGCTTGTCTTATTGATTGACGGCACTGCACAACACACCTGTGGGCCTCTGGGAGGTGCTGAGACACTGCACCTGAATTCAGATCAACCATGCACAGGGACTGATCCTTGGAGCCCGTGAAGAGTATGGAGCCATCGGCCGAGAACCGGAGTTTGCGACAAGGATGAGCGATGATGTGTCAGGTGCAGCAGTTCGCGACTAGGACCTGTCCAAAGCGTACGAATGCACAAATGCATCACCATCTACCGTGCCAATGGCAACTGCATCTCGTGTTGGATGGCAGCAGACATCAGTGAGAATAGTTTCAAACGGTATGTCGGCTGGGGCACAACCAGCACCGATCTGCGGATCCGAGCTCGGCTGCTTCGGTTCATCGTCGCTGCTGCCACTGTCATCACTGACGTCACTGGCCTCATCTATGTCACTTCGATCACTGCTGTCACTGACATCCGACATGATCACTGCAAGGGATTCCAGTGTGACCTTTCTGAACAATACTTGGCAATGCGCAAAATCAGCTCGATCAAAGTTCATAAGTTCATGCACGGTTTGCACAACATATAGTGAAATTCGGAATGACAAATTAAAGCTGGTTGGCTATCTATTTGTGCGAGGCGGGAGGGGGGGGGGGGGGGCTGAAAGCACAATACAAACTTCACATGAAATGCTGAATTACTTCGTCATTATTTTGTCCTGCGCTGTTTGCCACAGAAATATAACGATGGATTTACTTATTTAAAGAAGTTTGCTAATAGATGCACGACTTAATCCATAGTGCATGAAAAGACGGCAAATTGTTGTATTTGAGCCCGAGTGCACAGGAAAACGACAACGACACGTGTGAATGTTGACCAAGCAAACTGACTTGCGAGCATGGGCAAATGCATGTGCATCAGTGGCTTTTGTTTGCTTGTTCGTTTGTAGCCTGGAAACTGGCACATGCCCACTCTGGCAGATCGGCCAATAAAACGTATAATAGCCTATGGATGATAAGTGCACTATTGCTTATCAACATACTGCAAAAATAATGTAGGAAAGAGAAACAACACACTACAGCAATAAAAAGCAATAAAGTGAGACTCTCAACATTTCCTCTTCATCGTAGCTGACTTCTACTCGCGAGCTACAAAACGAGGCTAGCTTTTTATAGCGCCGATCCTACAGCGTTCTCTACATCCCCATTCCATGCTCCATGGAAGAGCGAGCAGCGTCAAGTCGTGCCATGCGGATCAGGTTAAGTTACTTAACGATCTTGTCGCTCATGCAGTACTGCACGAATTTACATGACCGTGACAAACATCTCATTTAGCTATTTTCAAGAAAAAATTATAAGGGCACTTCAAGCCATGCGGAGGTACTTACCGGCAATCACAGGGCAATGAGAGGACTGCCAAAACGAACTGGCCACCTGTCTTGGGGTTCACTTTGTGTCATCTAACCCAGCAACTTTAGAAAGCTTTAACGCGTGCTGAAGATAAGCAAATAGCAGCACGCGGGCTTATCGCATGCCCTGCGCGTGCCCTAGGAGCTTTAGTCACTTCACTAGCTAGCTCACAGCTTGCTTCAGCTTCAGCTGCGCCACGGGCTCAGCGGCGTGAAAGTTGGCCAAGCCAAGCCAACGGCCCAACGGCTACGAGTAGCGCCAGTGGCGCCCCTCTTCGGCTCTCCTCGGAGGTGTAATGGCCGATAGATACTGATGGTAGAGCCGCTTTTGTCCGAGGGCGTCGGTTAGGTTTCCCTTTGAATGAATGCGTTTCTCAGGGAACCCGAGTCTACCGGAAGACCTGCATGGACAGCGTTTAATCGCATGATGGCCCGCGGTGCCAAGTTCAGGCTCTGAATTCCATGGCAGAGGGCCCCGTGCCTCGCCGGTGGAGAGCAGCTTCTTAAAGTCATCCCGAGAAGTGGACAGTCTCACCAATACCGGTGCGCAGAGATGGATGCTTCAGTACCAATAGAGCACGTGCTGTTGAGAATCAAGGTTCTCAACCTGGCCTACCTTACCGTAGCGCTGCCCTTATTCACGCTGCTATTCTGCTTCGCCACGTCAATGTTGTTCCAGTACACCGCCGTGAACACGACGGTTTGCAAGGTGAGCCTGATAACGTTCCACGCGCGTAACGACGCCTGCTCCGCTCTAGTAACGCGATTGATTTTCGCCGCATCGAGGTACGGTTCCGCTTTGTCTTTTGTTTCTTGCGTAACCTTGAAAGCGCTCTCACCGAATGTAACCACGTTTATCGCCGACGAAGTTTTCTTCGCCACATAGCTCTGGTGTCATGCGCAAAGGCGTCATTCGCGCGCGCGCGGAAAACCTGAAAAACGCTATCATTCGCCACTCATTTTCGGGCTGCCGGCACACGGGGAGCAGTCTACTTCAGAAATTTGCAGCTCTCGAGCTTCTACTGATAGTTGTTATTACTTGCACAGCATCGTAGTATTATGGGCCTGTGTCCCTAGCATTAGTCATCATCGCGTAGCTACTATGGTGATCCAGTTTCCCGTAATTCTTTTCTCTGGGTACAAGCGTTCTGTGATTTTTCAGGACGGGGACGATAACACAAAAAAACACGCTAAATTTGTTAAGTGTTTGTTGGTATTCTTTCTAGTGACGTGACAACTTTGTTTTTATTTTTTGCCGTATTCAGGTTAAATGTTTGACAAGGGCAGTTTTTATCAGGAAGTCCCGAGAAGGAGGGGACGGTTGACTTGCTATGACAATTTGCGTGTTTGGGTGGTATGCGTGTGTATTTTACACATAGAAAACAAGGTTTTCTCTCGCTAATTGACATATTCAAGGTGATGCGAGTGCTGCGACATACGTCGTGGTGTTGAAATTTGCAGTAGTACCTGTAGCTTAAACATCTTTAGTGTTTAGCGGTACTTTTATAACGCACTCAGCTCCACTACCATTAGAATGTGACCTACGCTGGATGGATGGATGGATGGATGGATGGATGGATATGGCTGTACCCTTTAGATCGGGCGGTGGCTAGCGCCACCAAGCCGTAATACGTATTGAACCAAAAACTATATTTTTTTTCTTTAAAAAGTGAGTTTGAGGATTCGTACTTTGCAGTGAAGAGTTTGATTTTCACTCGTGCCTTGACTTTAGCCACCAATCAAATAACCTCCTTCTAGTTAAGTCTACCCGCTTAAAGTCTATTTTGCCCTCCCGGACCCTAAACCCCAGTGCTTTGAAAAACTCTGCGCCATCATTCTGAACTATAGGGTGAAGCCCTTTACAGAACATTATCAAGTGTTCGGCAGTTTCTTCTTCCTCTCCACACGCACTGCATACTGTGTCTACCCCTTCGTATTTGGCCCGATATGTCTTGGTTCGCAGTACTCCCGTCCTGGCCTCAAACAGTAGAGAACTACCCCGAGTATTATCGTAGATCCTTTCCTTGGCAATTTCCTGCTTAAAAGTTCGATAGATCTCTAGTGCGGACTTCTTAATCATGCCCATTCTCCACATGTCAGTCTCCGTTTCCTTCACTTTCTTCTTAACCGATAGTTATTTTTGGTTTGGCCACCTGCTGTTTTCAAAGTATTTACCAGTCAATTTCCTGGTTCGCTTCCTCCATTTTGTATTTACATTCTTCATGTACAAGTAGCTGAAAACCTTCCTAGCCCAACGCTCCTCCCCCATTTCTCTCAATCGCTTCTCAAATTTTATCTTGCTGCTAGCTTCCCTGCCCTCAAATGATGTCCATCCCATATCACCTTGTACTCCCTGATTTGGTGTATTCCCGTGAGCTCCTAAAGCAAGCCTACCTATTCCACGTTGCTTATTCCACGCTGTCCGGTATCGAACACGCCACCTTGTGCTCATACGTAAGAGAACCACGTGGTATTGATAAGCCATCTACAGCTTCGTGAGCTATGTTAAAATAGTTTGTTTATATACCGGCTTGTGTCCTCACAGGGAGCTTGATTTCGTGCGCTTTCGAATGATGACCAAGCATTCGGAAATTAATTATATATAGAAGAATAATTTTGCGACAGCCACAGGTCCACACTCTAGGCTCTGCAAAAATATAAAAAAAGGAACTGATTGTATAATGTGTACTCCGCATCATGAATTCTTCTGTATTGGGACAATAAAATAAATAAATAGGCAACTCTTGTTCTACAAAAGCTCGACAAAAACTAACACTGAACTAAGGCGTTTTTTTTTTTTTTTTTTTTTTTTGCGGGGGGGGGGGGGGTGTTGATAGGGCAAGACATATTAGTTTTTAAATTATGCAGCGAGTTGCGGCCTAGTCAATCTGTATTCATTTGCATATAAGTGACCCGATTCTTTGTGTTTTTTGTGCGGAAAAAGAGTATTACCATTGCATTGGTATCGGTTGATTGTCGTTTTAAGTACTAGTAAATGAAGACAGTTGCATGGCGTTCGTTTTCTCTAAATATCTATATATATTTTTACTGTCACCTTCTGGCGGACAACGCATAGTTTGTAATTGTTGTCACGCGTTTCGATACATGTGTAGGTGCGCACGCACCATTGTCCATAGCACAAAATCAATCAATCAATTCAATTTACACTGTGATCTTCAAATATGCAGAAAAGTGATTGTACCACACACACACACACACGCACGCACACACACACACACACACACACACACACACACACACACACACACCAAGGATCTGACGCAGCATTTGATTCCTTGGGTGCATATGTGTCGCAAAGGACAATATAGAACAAGTTCCCACGAGCCATCTGGACCCATAGCCAAAGGTCCAAATTCTCATTAAAAAAACACTGGTCTGTAAAGGAGATTGCAAATATTATAATCAAGTAATCATAATCATCACCCTCATCAGCCCATCTTTACGTCCACTTCTGGACGAAGGCCTCTGATCATAATCTCCAATTTACCGTATGTAATTATGCAAGCTGATTTAATTTTATGCCTGCAAATTTCATCACTCCACTGGACTCGCCAGCGTTCTCGGCTGTATTTCCTGTGCCTTGGTAACGATCCCATTGCCATAACGAGGCCCGTAACTAGGGGAAGGGTTTTGCCCTCTCCCCCTGCCCCCGAATTCTGATGGAGGGGGTGCTTTACTGAAAGTCACTAATGAATATAGGTGATCTTCTGAAATAATCAAGGTCTTCAGCAACAACTGACTCCGCCCGAAAAAAAATTCTGGCCATAGGCGTGGCTCAAACTGACCACGCGTCTGGCCGTGTTTTTTTTTTTTTTTGTGTGTGTGTGCAAAAAAGGAAGTTTTTTTGTGAATGATAAAGCGTGCTTTGGAAGGATTTATTAATAATCTATTAATCATTATTAATCTATTAATTATTAATTATTATTAATCTATTAATTATTATTAATTAAGAGTAGCTAAATCCGAGTGATCAGAAAAAAAGAGTCGAGGCATCAGCGTAAAGTAAACACGAAAAAAAGTTAAGGCAGCAGGGTAAGTCATTCACATATGTATATATCGAAAGTAATAGTGGTCTCATAAGCGAACCTTGAGGAACACCTCCGTTGAAGGGGCCATGACACCCGATTTTCGCCCATAGCTGTGTTAAGCTTGTTAAATACTTAACTGCTCACAGATAAGCTGGTGAAATTTCAGCGCATTTGACCGAGCACTGAATTGACACGAGCGGCCCGAGAGTCTCACAACACTGGCGCAGTCACGAGCCGCTCGCTTTGCGAGCGTTCGTATTGCGGCCAACGATCTTGTTTGGTCGTCATCCGCGTGCACAATGGAGTATTTCGTCTTTCTTCAGCTTCGCATTGAAATTGGATGATTTGCAACGGCTGAAATAGGGATAGAGCGCGACGGCCTCACTCCATAAGGTACATGACGTCACACACGCTATGTCAAATTGGTGTTTGTGGGCGGGGTTTATAGCGGGCTACTTTATAGCTGGCGGGATCGAATCCGGGCCATGACGGAGGCTTAATGCTTGAGGGCGGAGTACTTATCCCAGGTGGTCAAAATTTCCGGAGCTCCCCATTGAAGGCTCTCTCAACATCACATCGTAATTTAATGCACGTAAAACCCCATTAATTATTATTGTTATATTGTTATAAGATTGTCTTGTCACTCCGGCGCCAATCAAGTTTCCTGTGCAGCTTTGAAAGGTGTCGGAATGGCAACAATACAGGTACAGTTCTATCAGGGCCACAATGCTATGCTGGTGTCACACGGGCACATTTAATCGTGATCATAGCGCTGGTACCACTCGGATTCCCTCATCGCACACAACAATCGCGACGCTGCTACACGGTACAAACTAATCCTGATCATGTTTGGCACAGACGTCTGTAATAAACATCGCTATCTTCGAGCCAGATCGGGATGCGCAAATCGTAATCGTCTCGATCCCGATTGGGCCTGATAGGGCTTGATCTCGATTAAAGTGAACGTATAGCAGTACCCGGTCTGTACCTAGCCTCATCGGGATCGTCCCTAATCGTGAACAAAACTGCCCACGTTACACTGGCGATAGAGCAGTACAAATACGCACAAGCTTCAAGAGTATACCAGTTCTATAGAAGGTCGGGCCTTGTTGGTGTGCGGCGTTGAATATGCAAAACGCTTGAATAGACGAAGACAACAGAGGAGAACACAACACGAGCGCTATCTGTCAACAGGCGTTCGTGTAGTCGCCGTCCATTCAAGCGCTTTGCATTGTCGCTTCAGGATGAAAAGATGTCAGAAGACCTTTTGCAGTGGGTAACTAATTAGCTGACTGCATTGCAGCGTGTATACAGTTAAGTGTTGTTGCGAACGACGGACCGATCCCACCGCTGCCACCACTGTTGCGAACGACGGACCGATCCCGCCGAAGCCACCACTGTTGCGCAAGACGGCGACGCCAACACGGTCCTGTAGGCGCCACTGCTTCCAACTCCGCCGGGAAGGTCACCAGCCGTTTGGTAGCGTATGTTTATCAGCTCGCGACTGCTTCTGCGCAGAGCTGATAAGACGAGCGGACGAGACGACGGTGAGTTAAACAAGGTTTATGTACAGCATATACACAGAGGCATTACAAATTCGGCACTGGGGCCGACAGAGACTCGAAGAGCCAAGCTCTCCTCTCTAATACATAGGTCAACT